ATTGCTGTGATTTGAAATCTATTAATTACTATCCTTGTCGCTTTTGATGAGATCAGATTTCTATATCAAACTTCTAATGGAAGTATGATTTTTCTGGTTTCATTCTTGATTCTTTGTTGAAAAGCAAGCTAGCACCAAACTGTAAATTATTATAACAGACCTGTGTTCACCTGTGATTGAAAGCCAACCACATTGGACAATTTCTTATTTGGCGAATGATATATATTTTAGCTTCTGCATATGCAAAATGTTCTACTTGTATATGGATAAATGGGTTGGAGCGTTTTTGTGCAGACCTTTAACATAGGAATGTGCTATTATCCAGTTCTTTGTTAAACATAAATCTTACCATACTGGATACCACATGTAAACATGTACACCTTTACTATGTTACTAATGTTATTTATAGGAATTCTGTATTGGTTGGAAACATAAAAATGACATTTAGTGTTTTCATGCATTTGCATAAAAGATTATCTCCTGAAAATCTGTATCTTTTGATATCCTTCATTTGATTTAGACCTACATGATTTTGTCAATTGGTTAGATGCTAACATACTTTATGAATCAGATATACACTATGACTTGGACATTTTATCGATTAGTTTGAAGTAAAATTCCACTTGTCATGAAAATTATTGACCATTCATTTTCTTAAGCTGATCTAGATATTGGTATCCATACCTCTTAATTTTTATTTTATCCTTTTACTGGTGCAAATAATAACTCTTGAAGGCATGCTATATGATAATTTTGTTGCATCATTTGCTTTACTTCTGATCAGCTTTCTTGTCCTTAAAATGCTAAAATATGAAGAAGTAATTGCATGCTATGCAATTGATTCCTAAATGTAAATTGTTCCTTCCTGTGTGCACTGCAGCTTGTTTCTCCCTCTTGTATATTTTCATTACTGAAATTAGTACCTGATAATTACTGGAGGGTGTATTTCTAGTTACAACAATTAAGTAGTGAGCACTAACAGTACATATTTTAGTTCATACATGTAGTAAAATGTGTTCCCAGATACATTCATGAATTTGGCATGTACCTTTATTTGCAATGAATACCAAGACATCTTTTTTTTTTTTTGAATTATGACTGGTAGCGCAATCTTGGTGCTGTATCTATATCCTCTTTTAATAATGACCTTGTAATTTCCATAGATAAGATCATGTTCTTTGCCATAAGAAATTTTGTTCATTTCTATTAGATGACGCAGAAGCATTTATAAACTTACTCTTCTGGTTTCACCTAATTATATCTTTTCCGAATTACTAGATACCTGGAGGAAGGATGTTAAATGTGAAGACATAAAGGACACCATCAATAAAGCAGTTCCGGGGAAGCTCAGAGCTTTGCATGTGGCTGAGGTAGGTTTCTACTAAAGTACATTCTCTTTCTAAGGGTCTTTGATATAAAGGACATTAATTGGACTAGGCAGGGGACCATTTAATGAAGTTAACGTATTGCAACTTTGCAGTTGAAATTTCTTTGTCTATTATATCCTTCAATATTGCAACTGCTGACCTGGTAGTACAAGCTTATTTTGTTGTCTTTAGCTGTTTGCTAATCGAGACTTTATCATCTGGTGACTTTTTAGGTATGTAGAAAACCTCATGGAACCTTGGTTTTGTGAACTTCTTTTAATCTCTTTGTTGGTGGTTTCGAGGCTTTTGTTGAACAAAATCTTTCCTTAAAAGGCTACATTGTGTCCATGCATCTGGTTGAGCTCCCACATATTTTTTACCAAAAAATCTGCCTGTGCAATTAATTATATTTTTCTCTCTTTATGACTGTTCTAGATATGATAAAGAAGTGAGACTGCTTTATATAATGGTTAACAGAGGGAAAGATATGCTTTTGTTTCTTTCTTTTATTATGGTGGAGTTTTAGGTTGATGTAGATGGTCCTTGGATACTACTGGTTTCCCTGCTGGGACACTGGGATGTTGATCCCTTATACTTGTATCCAGTATCTCTCTTCTGACAGCAATGGAAATAATTAAACTTAATAAGCTTAAAGATAGCTCACTGAAATGCAGTTTCCCTGCAGCATAAATTTCATTATAGGATGAGGATCTAGAAAATTACAGCTAATTTGTTTTTGGTGCTCAACTAGCAAACGTCACATACAGTATGACAATTTATCTTTTTGGCCTACCCTTGTGATCCTGTTTCTTTCTTTTATCTGCCTGGATTAATTATTACCTGGTTCAGTTACATGCCCCACATTATTTGTTATTTTTAAGTAAACCTTTTTGGTGCCATCTTTAAATTAATTCTTACATGATTTAGCCACAATGTTTTCTATATTGTAGGGCACCTTAATGATCAGATATGTAATTTCAATCAGTAGTGACTAAGAGAAACAATTGGACTTTTGGTGGCAATGCATTATTAAAGATATAACAGAATCTCTTCTTTGAATAGGTTCTTTGGGGAACAAAGACCCTTCTTTTTGTTGGGAGTTCCAAACACTTTTTGTTATTATCCTGCTTCTCAAGTTTTCCCTTATTGTTGACAATTCTCATTGTTTTTGTTTTGTTTTCCAGCTCAAGTAGAATCTGTAAATGTTTCATGCTATCAATTTTTTGTTGGTTCTTAAACGTATACTTTTATCACATTATAATTGTTTTTTGACTTCCTCAACTTGAGGTTCATTACCACCTTTATTTGGTTTATAACAGTCACCTTTTTCAAGCTCCTGATGGGAAAGAATTATTGCAGGTTGGACGTGTATTTCATCCCAATTTTGCAGCCAAATGGAGGCGATACTTTTACATTCTTCCCCTTAATGATAATGAAGAATCAATCATAAGTAGTTCTGAAAGTGACTGGACAAGGACTTCTGATGGAGAGGAGGATGACCAGATTAATAGATTGCCGGAGGGTGATGAGAAAGAGCAGCAACAAACTTTTTCCCATGTGAATGAAGATGATAGCCCAGATATTGTTGGACTGAAACGAAGAAGCTTTAGTGTAAGCAAGGTGGATCAACTCCTAAGAGAGTTAGAAGGGAAGACACTGTCATACAAAATGTTTGCACGTGATACAAAAGCTTCAAGAAGCATGTAAGAACTGCTATTTAATAACAACAAAAACAAGTACCTAATGGAAACAAGTTAAAACACAAACTGGATATTTTTCTTAAAAAGAACTAAATGATGGTATCTGCAACTTAAAGTGTTTAATATAGGAAGTGTGCCAAAGGTACTTCTGCTTTTAGGAAAAATGAATTTGTGCTGGCTGGAAATGATTCCATCAAATATTTAGATTATCAAAGGATTATGCATAACTTAGAGATTAAGAAAACAAGAATTGTTCATACAAGCACACCAACTCTCTCTCTCTCTCTCTCTCTCATATATTATGATAGCTTAGATTTCATGTAACTGTTAGGAATTTGTGACCTGGCTAGGAGTAGCTGCAGTGATCATTCTCTTGTATGAATTCCTGGAGCTATTACTCTTGGATTCTTTCATTAAGCAAGCTGTACTGTTCAAATTGAATTGATTATTAGATTATTGATTTCCACAATAATCATCTTTCAACTGATCATGTTTCAATTTTCAGTTACATGGAAGATAAATCCTTAGGCAATTTGAATCTATGTTCATCTGCAAAGCTCAACAAGTAGATCAAGTTTATAACACTCAACAATTACCTAGATGGAAAAGAGGAATTGCTTGTCAAATAAATATGAAACCTTAGTTTTCAAACCTGTTGTCAGCTTTTACGTAATTTTCATCATAGAAGTCCTCATACTGGTCTAAACATCACTTATGACCAAGTTGTTGATTGTTTTATAGAACTTATTTATTCCTTCTCTTAGTTTAATATATTGGGACTCTGAATCTTTTATTTTTCTATTGATATAGAAGTTATTTCAATTCACTATATGACTTTCTTTCTCCCATGATTTATTCTTGCAGTGGACCACCAACAGAGTGTTTTATGTTTCATGCTCGAGCTGCAGAAACTAAATTGCCCAGTGACACTGAGGTTATTTTATCTTACAAACATGACCGTATCTTAAGTCACAAGAATGATTTATTGTTTGGAAATTGTTTTGCCTATATATGAGATTCACCTTTTATTTACTAAAATGTTTATCTTAAAATGTTTCAACTTCAGCGACTTCCTTTCTGCAAATCAGATTGTTTTTGGGTTGTTTTTGACTGGAATACGGCAATGGTTCAAAATTGTGTCTATGTCACTCCTATCTCTTGGTTGTCCCTGTCCATTGTTGTGCAACTGAAACATGTCATAATTTGAAAATTGTGTGTTTTTATTCTGAGAGGATGTTTGTTTGTTTCTAGGACTATGCATATCTTCAAAGGGTGATGTGTGTGGAGCTTGTTGCGAATCGCTTCTTAAGGAAGGTAATATCACTGTTATACTTATGGCTTTGAATCTTTTAAGCAGCTAAGAAGGTACCAGTAATCTTCTAACATAAATGATATTGATATGCAGTAACACGCTGTTCTGAACCAGCCACTATCTGATAAATTCAACTTGTTGCTTTTAGTTCATTTTGGTGAAATCTTTGGTTTCTTCTTGTTTGCCTATTCATAATCCAGTTAAGATCATCAATCAACTCTTGGTGCCCTGCGTGGTTTTCCTGCAGATGGTCCGAGTTCTGGTGGCAACTGCCATCAGAGAGGCAGCAGCAGGCGCAGATGATGATGCTCTAATTAAGCTGATGGATGCCACATGCAGGCGTGCCACAGCCCCTCCTGCTCCTCCTGACGGCCTTTGCCTTGTTAACGTCGGATATGAAGAATTCAAACAAGAATTTTGTTTCATTAGATGAGGTGAAATAGTCACTTTTTTCCTAAATTTTTTTAAAGATACTAACTTAAGGCTTTAAAGATGCTGACTAGGATGATATCATCCACAGCCATAGAACTTTTATTTCTTTTAGGCATTTCTAACTATTAAGTTTAGCACACTCTCTTTTACAAGTAGCCAGCTATTGAATTCGAAGCTGTACCTGCTTGCAGCTTGGTGAAGTCTGATCTGGCTTCTCTAAATGGTTTTGCTGTTGCCTAACCTGACCTGCTCACATACCTTCCAGAAGACAAAGGTACAGAGAACTCTGATTGTGATCAAAGTTTTCACTTCCATTTAGATTGCCAACACTTCTTACACAAGCTTTTTTTTGGTTTGAGCTGTTAATCTTTTTCTTTTAATATTTTATCTGTAAACTACATGTTGAATTAAGAATGTTAAGTTGATATAAAATGTCAGGAATTTTGTTTGATTTGAACCTGCTTCCTAATATGTGTGCAACTCCCTTTTGCAGATGATATTTCCAGAGTTTAAGTCAACACACAATTCCAATTTTCATGGCAGCAAGGGCATTTATCATTATGGCTATCTGTGCACATAAATCTTGTCCACCAATTTTATCTTAGAATTAGAACATGCACAATCTGAATAAATAAGATAGTCTTGACCTCTTTGACTATCCAGCATGTTTATTCTGTGATTTGATCTAGAATGTAACTTTTTAATTGATCTATCAAATTCAATAAAACTTTTTCAGAGTTACCTTGTTTGTGAGCTAATTATGAAATCTCCAGACAAAAGACAATCAGTTAAAACATTGAGCTGTTCATATTAGTGAACCAAGTTTTGATGCCTGCATTGATTGATTAATTCATTATTGCAAGCAGGAAAACTCTATGAATGATGAAGCATTCTGATGGACTATTTGTGCCATGGAAGAAGTTTATCATCTCATATTGTTTAGCCTGCACAAAACTACTGTTCAACAAGCTCTGAAATAACATTATGATACATGCATATCAAGTGCCAATTACCAATGTGCATGCTTTCCCTCATTACATACATCATATGGGAATATTAATTTCTATCAGCTAATATACAATCTGTAGTCTTTAATTACACCCTATCAGGCTTCACAGAGATGTAGCATTTTTCACCTGTTTCCATGCTATGCTATATTGTTGTATCATTCACCTTGGTTTTCATGTGGGACCCATCTGCAGGCTGGTGGGCCCTAGATCCATCTACCAATCAGAGAGTGGTGGCCATGGAGAGGTTGGTGCATGCATGCGGCCCCCACCTGACATGGAGGAACCTGTGTCGTCCTCTTCTTCGATGGCTGGCCATGGAAGTCTCTGTGAACAGATTAAACCAGCTCGTAGGCAACCTGAGACATAGCATGTAACCAAAATTGGACTCCGTCGCTTTCATCCCAACCTCGTTCCCCAACTATTCTTAGCCCTTCACCTCCACCCTCCACCCGCCTCCCCCTCCTCTCCCTCCTCCCATCCCTTCTTCCATCACCACCACAATGCTGTCACAACCCATCTGCATTCCCATCCCAGTCCGCGCCACTGCCGGTTGGACCACCCCATAGGCTCCCTGGCGCCGCGCCATGGCCGACCAGTCCGTGCCATGGCCGCTGCAGCTCCTGACGCTCCTCCTCTCTCTCATTCCGTGGCGGCACCCCGCGGGCGCGTCGGACGACGGTCGCATTCTCCTCCAGTTCAAGGCGACGCTGTCCCCTGGCGTCGGCGGCGACGCTGTGCTGGCCACCTGGGTCGACACCCGCGGCCCGTGCATCGATCAGAACGTGTCGGCATGGGCCGGCGTCTACTGCGAGAACGGGAAGGTGGCGACGCTGCAGCTCGAGAGCATGAGCTTGTTGGGCGCGTTGGACCTCGACATCCTCACGGGGTTGCCGAGCCTCCGCGCGCTCAGCTTCAGCAACAACAGCCTCGAGGGAGGGATACCAGACTTCACGAAGCTGCCGGCGCTGAAGTCTCTGTACCTATCGTGGAACCGGTTCTCCGGCGAGATACCGGACGGCATGTTCTCCACGATGCGAGCGCTCAAGAAGGTGTGGCTGTCTCACAACAACTTCTCGGGGCCGATCCCGACCTCTCTGACGGTGCCGGAGAAACTGATGGATCTGGGGCTGGACAGCAACAGCTTCGAGGGGCACCTACCGGATCTCTGGCAGCCGGAGCTGCAAGTCGTCAACGTCTCCTACAACAACCTCGAGGGCCCGATTCCGGTGAGGCTCAGCAATATGAGTGCAACCTTGTTTGAAGGTCAGCCTTCCTCTTCTTCCCCTCTCTCTCTCTCATCAATATATATATATATATATATATACACATCACATCACAGCACATCAACGTAACCGAGTCATAAATGAACTCCATAGGCAACAAGAATCTGTGTGGCCCGCCGCTGCTTGTCTCGTGCAATCTACCAGAGAAGCATAAGCTCGCGCCCGCTCTCCTCGTCGCTATCATTCTGATCGCAGTCGCAGTCTTGTTAGCAGTCATCGCACTCATCGTCTTCCTCCTCCTCCGCCGCCGTAACAAAAAAGAAGAGACCACGGTGGACCGACCTCAAACCAGTACTAACTCCGAAAAGATCGAGCACTTGGAGGCAGCAGCCGATGCTGAGCTTGGATCAGAAAAGCACCACGGGGGAGGGAAGAAGGCCCCTAAGAAGGAGCAGGGCAAGCTGTCGTTCGTTGTGGAGTGGAGGAGGAAGTTTGACATGCAAGATCTCCTCCGGGCCTCCGCTGAGGTCCTCGGCAGCGGAAACTTCGGGTCTTCCTACAAGGCGACCCTGGTCGACGGCCCTGCCGTCGTCGTCAAGCGGTTCAAGGAGATGAAAGGAGTGGGGAGAGAAGACTTCCAAGAGCACATGAGAAGGCTGGGGAGGTTGTCCCACCCCAACCTGCTTCCTCTGGTGGCCTACTACTACAAGAAGGAGGAGAAGCTGCTGATCACTGAGTACATCCCCAATGGAAGCTTGGCCCACATGCTACATGGTAGTGAGCTGCACGATCATGATCTGCCTCGCGACCTCATGCTCCACATGATCATGAGCTGCCTCCATGCGCAGGTAACCGCGGCTCGAAGCTTCCACCGCTCGACTGGCCGACGCGGTTGAAGATAGTCAAAGGCGTCGCGAGAGGCCTCGCTTACCTCTACGACGAGCTCCCGATGTTGACCGTCCCCCATGGCCACCTCAAGTCCTCCAACGTGCTGCTTAGTTCCTCCTTTGAGCCCATCCTCACAGACTACGCCCTCGTCCCGGTGATGAAGAAGGCTGCCGCCTCTCAGGTCATGGTGGCCTACAAGTCCCCGGAGTGCGCCCAACACGGCGAACCTTCCAAGAAAAGCGACGTGTGGAGCTTCGGAACGCTGATACTCGAGATCCTAACAGGTAAGTTTCCGGCGGATCATCTGGCGGAGGGGAGCGCCGGCGCGGACTTGGCGAGCTGGGTGAACACCGTCGCCGGAGAAGAGGGGACCAGCAAAGTGTTCGACAAGAACATGGAGGGAACCAAGGACAGCGAGGGGGAGATGTTGAAGCTGTTGAAGATAGGTATTGCGTGCTGTGAGGCAGATGTCGACGAGAGGTGGGAGATGAAGGAAGCGCTGGAGAAGATCGAAGAGCTAAAGGAAAGAGAAGGTGGTACGGAGCGTCCTTTGATCAGCAGCGAGGGCGACGGCTTCTCCTCGAAAGCCATGGTGGAAAGATGAGCTCTCTTTGTCAACGAAACTGAAGAAATGACTCGAGGGGAAGACTTCAAAGAAAAGTGACACGATTTACCTTTCCATTCCAAACATTTAAAAGCAGATGTGGGTGATTAGTGTTGTAGATGTTTCTTGATACAAGTGGAGTGTGTAAACTGATCAAATTTATCTATTTTTAATATGTTAATTTAGGACAAAATCACATATTTGTCTTTTTCTTCCTGGAGATCTATAATTCGATATGGTGTTATTTGCTTGTGCGATCTCGATGTTTATGTTTTGATATCGTAAAATTATTAAAACCAGTTAAATCCGTGAAAGATGAACAATAAACGATGTTTATGTTTTGATATCGTAAAATTATTAAAACCAGCTAAATCCGTGAAAGATGAACAATAAATTTTTTTTCGACCAAGCGATCCTTCGTATAAATAGTCGGAGACAATTAAACTGGTGGTTGGCAAACATATTTGAAAGAATAAACAGAAAAATAAACATATCAGAATCACCAACACGGATGCAAAGATATATTTCAAGGAATTCTTGCTACTTAAATGAGAACCAGGCAAAAGGTGAAAGAAAGAAACTACAGCAACTCAGTACCAAATGTTTGGGGAGGCACAAGAGGTCAGTCTGAGAAAGATAATACAGATCATGTCCTTGAATCCACCATAACCTACTACCTACTCTGCATGAACACAACCAAGAACAACTCATAAAGCTGTTCTTCACAATGCAGCAGCAGCAGCTTGAGCCAAAATGTAGATGCAGCAGTTTGAAGATGATGCAAGTCTGGCATCTGAAAAAATAAGTGGAGAGTTACAACAAGCCGTCGCCACTTCTTCAGCCCACGTCAGTGAATCTGACTGGGATCAAATAGATTGTCCCGATATGGGGTGTTTTGCAGCAGAAGCTCCTGGGGCTGGTTGCCACTTCGGTGCATCGTAAATGGTAGCAGCTGAGGTTGTTGAGCTAGAGGTTGCCCGTGTATCCAGTGACTCGAGGAGTTGATCGTAGGTACCATGGGCTGTGCTGTACTGGTGTGACTAGCATCGACAAACTCGACGATGGAAGAAGTTTGTCCAGGGTCAGGAGAGCCCCAAGAATTGGTTGACAGAAGAGAGAGAGCACGACGAAGATCTGGTGCTCCGCCCAAGTTCAAAGCCCCTGCAGATGCCTCTGAACCTGTAAAAGAGAACAGACATCAGCAAAACTATTGTGGTTGATCACACAAAGGATAATAACATTCTCCACAAAGAAAGAAACACGATTGTTCTCCAGAAAACAAATGCCTTGGTTGAGTGCTCTCTACATAATCAAAATGGCAAATGCCCATACCATGTGCTTGAAGGAGAACCGAGTTTAGGTTTTTTAGCTTTGACATTGACAAACCCCCTTCTGGCCACTTCGAGGCATTTCTCGATATCATCTCTAATAAATTATGATCCTATTACCATTGCATCATGAATGCTCCTTTTTATAAGCCACAAAATCTAACATGACTTTATGCATAGTTACATCATAGTTACATCAACTTAAGTGAATAATGGAACAATACAAACTTAGCACACATAGAGCAAATGGAATTGCAGACGAAAACCACACGAGGCAGGTTTGCCCTCATGTTTTTTTAATGTTCCTGTGCCTGATTCGTTATAGACATTTGCATATGACACGTCAACAATGACAATCCCATAAAACAATTCTAAGAAGTTTGCGCGTGTTTACTCTCTATAAGACAATTGATATTTACAAAGAAAAACTACTCTAGATGCCAACAAACTGGAAGGTTTAACGGAAAAATTGATGCAAAAGTCAGATTCTCTTATGCAGGGAGAATCTGGAAAAACAGCCTGCATACCTATAACATAGAATATCAACTGTAGATATAACGTTAAATGCAAACTAAGATGAAATCACAGCCAATATCGATGGACTGAAAGCACCAAAACATGACTGATTAACTTGTCTAGGATATCTAGGAAAGATGAAAACAGATATAAATGAGGTCAATTCCCACTGATACGTGTTCAATGACTGCACTGGAGAGTTCTTGTCCCAAGATTTCAATCATGATATTGATCACACCAGGGATATTCATCATATGGATTCCAATATTTGAAAGTTTAGCAATAGGGATATATGAATTGTGCATAGGGAGATATAAATTTCAATTTCAAGGAGAACAATTTGGAATATTGAGGGCTCACCATAGATCACTCGACAAAAGCAACAGATAAATGACAGCTTCCTAACAGTTAGCTCATGTCAACACATAAGTTACCTTGATTGAGAACTTCAGTGGCAGTGCCTTTGAGTGGCAAGAGCTTGTCTACATCAGGATAAAGCGTAAAAAATCCATTTGATAGCTGAGCATTTGGCAAATGCAATTGTGCATCAGTGCCACCGTCTTTTGGTGATTTTTCCCATGACCCTTTTTGTGTGAGCTTGAAACTTGGCAAACCTTCAATATTGGTGCTTGCCACAGGTTTCATATGACCAAAAGGAGCCTTATTCCATAGCAAGTTCATCTGATGTTTATCATCTGGAAAAGCCAGGTAATGTTCAGCAATGAGAAATGCAGTACAGAAAAGCTGTTTCATATAATTATGAAGTATCTCGTTGGTTTTTGGATATAGTCAATAGAAGAATGGTGTGAGCAAGATAATATAACAGTTGATCATAGCTAGAAGTATGCCGTAAGATGAAAAGAATGAACAAACTATGTAAGAACTCATAGAATTGCTATTTGGCATTCAATCGCCATAGCTACAGTAGAGAACAATGGAATTTTTTTAGCACAATGATAGTTAATCTGCAAATTGTCTTAAGGTGTCATTTGATTACAGATGGTGCTTCCATTTTGATCACCATCTTAATAAGACACAACTGAATTGTTCTTAATCCTTTAGAAGAGCTAATATGGAAGATGTACAACCGAGTGTTGTCAATGTTTTATAGACAACATAAGATAAAAGAAATTGTTAAGGCCAAGATTCTGTCGTCCTTGATCTATGTTCTCCGGTTAGAATGGGTCATCATCATAGAATGAATAAATAACATATATATTCTCAAATAACAACATTCATACCGTATGTGGTATCTGACCTACTGTTTAAAGAATAATGACCATGGAAAATGTATTCAGAAACTTTACATTTCATAACTCTGCCAGGCACAATTATTATCACTCTTTAATGAGTGTAATCTGTGGTGACATGTTAAGTTTAAGATAATATTTAGAGACCAGAAGGAATCATGCTCTCCCTTTACCTCTTTAGAATGGCCTTCTAAGCCTACTTCACGCAATAAGCAGAGTTGAGTGAAATGAACATGAATGCATCTTTAAATGAATGTTTCGTTCTCGGTTTTAGGATAAAGAATAGGTATTCAAGGTAGAGTTGAACTTCCAACAGACAGATATGATTATTGCCCTACCGGAGGTAATGAAACCAAGCAAAGGAAGTGGCTTATATTTGTCTTCATTGTAATTACATACTCTATTGTATAACAAGACATCATAATTTATTCTTGTGTTCTTCAACTTACTTTTGACTTAGTTTGATCAAAGTTCACCCAGAGCTTGAATAAGGACAGGCTCGATCAAACTAAACTCACTCATAGGATAAATTGTCAATCTGGTGGGTGTTGTCGCAAAGCCTTTCGAACAATCATATGAAGACTCGAGTGTTTAGCCAATTATCATTCGTCCATCATGTAATTTTGCAGAACAAAAAACAAACATTATGTAGAAAAAAAGTCCTCATCACAAACGAATACGTTTACTGGGTCAAATGAGTGCAAGATAAGTGTAACACAAAGTCCACAAACAAAGACAACAAGTTAAAAATAATGTATATCCTATAATCTTTTTCACCAGTGCAGTCTTTCCGGAGGTAGCCTCACGCTTGATAATTATCAAAACTAGTGTGTGCTTTTTTGGTTATTCAGTTAACTATGGCTTTCATCCAGCTTTTTACAATGAAGTTTCCTTGCTAAAGTCATTTGACTGTCCAGATCTGAAACTTATTGAGCAATCTTTTAAAACAAGGATCATAGAACTCTGTTTTGATGAAAAGGAATCAAGACTATCAAGTGAAAAAGGATCATAATTCTACTAAGAACTAGAAACCATGAACTTGACATGAGTCTATAACACCAGAGAGTGATCAAAAAATGGAAGATTTTTTTTTTGTCGATGTGTTGAAAAAATAGGTGTTCACAAAATTACAAAGAAATGAAAAGTAATTGATGTTTAGGCAGATGTCATTGCATGTCAAGAGAAGGAGCAAATAAGAGCACACTAGTTCTAGTTTAGTAAGCCACAGCTACATAAAAGCACTGCAATACTTTTATTGTCTCGCAATTTCAACTTGTCAAGGCACATATATAAAGTAGCAACGATACGATCAACGCAGAGTCGAGTAATGTAGTGGTCCATTAGGTTCCAACAATACTCCTTAAGAGTCTTCTCCTAAATAAGCGGGGAAGTGTACCTTTAAGATCCCATTTCTTGTGCGAAGACAATGTTCGTAAACAGCCTAGCGTAAATCATACTTACTTTACAAGATTAAAACAAATCAAAAGGGAAACAGTGGTAAAACAAGAAATGTTTATACCATAAAGCGATGAAGAAAAATTTGTCGAATTGAACGAGATCAAGTTCGTCCGTGGCTTCCGACGTCGTGCATTATGATCAGACAAACGTCTCCTGCAGCTTCTCTTTTTCTGATCAAACTCAGACAACTCATGGAACCTTGAACAAATCAAACAATGAGATGAGAAATCACTGCAGCATAATGATTGGGGTAATATGTATAACAATTCATGGGACTTTTATCTGTTAGAAAAGGACGCTCAAAGTCGTTTAGTCTCAAGTAACCTGCTGCATTGCTGACAAAACCTGCGCTCCTGACCACCGACGATAACCTTGGGCCATTTAGAATGCATCTCGCAGACCCTGTGCTTCCGGTGATAGTCCTTGGCTACACTGAGGTCAATGTTGCAACCCTCAACTTGGCAGCACGTACTCTGTGCACTCTGATGTGACACTCTCGACTTCTTAAGCACAGCAGTCGGTACCGACGCAGAATCCAACGACGACGACAAAGGGTGGTTCTTTGAGTTACTCTCAGCTGAAACATCCTCAAAGTAGGTTCTCTTACCGAGCTTTAGCCCTATCTGTGATTCCTCCAACCCGGCCGCGGCCGCCGGAAGCAGGGAAGAACCAGATTCCTGCAAAAACTTGTTCTTCTCGTGAGTCTTCGGGTTTGCATCAGCCTCTGGTTCCTTTCCTGCTTTCGATGAGGAATCAAAGGAAGCAGAGATGGTGCTCTTGGATGAGGAACCGTTCCCGAATTCCGAGCCAGAGGAAGCACCGCCGCCGAACAGCTTACAGTTCCCTCCGAACGGCGCGTGGTTGTCCCAATCCCACAGCAAGGAAGCGTTCGCATTCCAATCCATCATCCGAGCAGAGAGATTGCATGCACTATCGACCAACGGAGACCGAAATAAAGTATCAAAGCCAGAGGGGGAAAAAAGATGAGCTTTTTCATGTACCATCACCCAAAAAAATTCTGAAAAGATCAGATCTTTAACGTACTGTTTCCCCCAAAAAAAATCAAAAATTTCATGTACTATTACCCAAAAGTAATCAAGAACAAGAGATTTGATGTACTGTTCGCCCCAGAATCAAGATTTCATGTACGGTTGCTCCGTAGGGTTACCAGGGATCAAGATCTCATGGGCGTCAAGCAGCATGGACAGGAATCAAGATCTGAAAACCTAGGGAAAGCAGTCGGAGTACCTGTAATGTTGCCGCCGACCAAACCCCAAAGTCAAAGAGGCAAGGAGAAGAGGTCTCCAGCGACTTCAATCCATGGTGGGGAGTAAACTATTCAGCAGGTACAGTGACAGGCTCAAGAATACTCCCCCACCCCACCCCGCCACCCCACCCCCGCCCCTCTCAGCACCCACACCCTCCCTCCTACTCATCCATCTCCTTGTCCACGGCAGGAGCCAGCAATCAAACAAGCGGGCTGTTGCTATCCATTCAATGACAAGTGGGCTGTTGCCATCTCTCAATTACCTCTTTCTTTATGTCCCTGTTATCTCTGCACAGTAGCACTGTGCACGACAGTAATCATCAACCTTTGTCACCTCCATCTCTCATCCTTACAAGAAAGGTTTTTACTGTTTTACTACACTGGATCAGTCCGCAGACAGGAAGAGCATCAGAGACCAGGTGAATTGGAAGATAGTTTACTGAATCTAATCAAAGCTTAGTAAAAAGGTGAAATGCCACAGTGATCTCTGGGTGGGGATGACCACATGCATTCCTGACACAAACAGCAGCAAAGCTTAATGGATTGATTGCTCTGTTGCATACCTCTCAGGGCACCCGTCCAGAAAAATAAGCCCAGAGTCGTTTGGAATTTGCATCTTCACTCTCTCCGTCTGCTCCATTTCACCATCTTTCACTCTCCTCATTTTGAGAGAATGTCATACTGTCAATGGATGAAAAGAATTTGGTTCATGAGACAAGGATACTTACAAGTATGGATTTTCTTGGAAGAATTGGGAGCTTTTGGCAGCAACATGATCAAAGTTACTATCACTTTGATTATGGTAGTATCAACTCATTTCAGAGCAGTTCCTAAACCTGCACCAGATAGCATCAAACATATTCATCCAAACTTCACCAAAATACTGGATGACATGTTCAGATTAAGAATTGCAGTCCCTGTATCAAGTTATTTTTTTTTTAGATTTAGAAGAAAATATTTACAGTGGCTATCTTGGATTTGTCTCACTACATCAAATACTATTATGTTGCTAGCAACCAATCAAGTCCAAAATGGACATTGTTTGATTAGTAGATGTTGAAGAACAGGGTTCTGAGAGAGTAGCATTACAGATAGAAAGTTCAGTGCAAAAGATGAGCTTGGGTCTTCATCACCTACCTTTCTCCTAAGAAGGAAGCACACAAGAAGAGAGCATTCGTGATCATTACAACAGTATGCCCAAATCTTGTATGGAAATTAGCCATACATGGAACAGAACTTATAGTCTTGAATTCACAGTTGAAAATAGGAGGATCCTTGGCCATGGAGAGTGTGATGATGATGATGATGATGAACAACAATGAGAGATGATGATACAGACAAGAACAAGCCACTGAAGCAAAGAAGCTTTTGAGCAAACATTGTGGAAAGGAGACTTCTCTGTTGCACTCTTTAACCTTTTTTGCTTTCCTTTTCACCAGAAAGTTCTCTCCTTGAGGTTACCTACCCCACCCTAATACAGCTGAACCATGCACTGTTTGAGCTGACCAGCTTTGTATTTTGCTATCAAAACAATATAAGAAAAAATGTATCAAATACAAAAAAGAGAGATGATAATGATTGTTGTCCATTTCTTAGTATTTTAGTAGCCATTTCAATGGAAATAAAGGCTAAATTACTACTGTAATCAAGTTTTATCATTAATTTATCATATAAGATGAAGGTAAATTACAAATTCTGAATTGTGATGATAACTGGCTTCATTTGAGACATATTTTAACCACTAAAACATCGATGTGGTCGACAATTACAAGTTTTTTTGTTAATTGTTATAGATTGTTATCACAGTATGCACTGTGATTATCTGACAGTCATTTAAAACAGGAACTGAGCTGATCTCTTGAACATACTGAATCAAGAGCAGACTGAAGCTTCCAGGTCACAGCATCAGCATTGTGACTAACCATTTTATGAGAATCTATATATTGATCTTTGGCAGTGTCAAAGATTAAGAAGGAATTGTTTTGAGGGAAAATGTTGCCTTGAAATTTAAGATAATAGAAGGCAACAACTTTTTTTTAAAAGGTGAAAATGGCATTTAAATATAATTAAAAAAGAGAAAAATAAACACCATTATCTCCTTTTGATGTCAATTTGCAGATTTCTTGGGACCTATCTCCTCACTTTTCTAGTATTCAGTCAATCTCTCTGTTCAATTATTTCATCACAATCCTGAAAAGAGATTAGATACAGAAGCACAGGACCCACTCTTTGGCAAAGATCACTATTTAGCTTGACCATGTCATCCCTGAAACTTTTATCTTGGACTCCCACAAATCTACTTTGTGGGACTCTTATGTGAAACCCACCATATCAAATCATGACCCTCAAAAAGTTTTTGGGATGATTTTGTCCAACTAAACAACAAAACTCCAAGTCCATATTTGACACCTTTTCTTTGGTGAGAGAAGCATTGGGAACAAAGTAAATGTCTAAGGAGAGAACTCTTTCCCTATCCTCAGCCCTGCCAGTGGTTATAAAGGACCATTGACCTTCACTGGTTTGGCTTAAGATGATATGATGTGCTTCAGTTGGTGTTTGATGTGGTTAATTGGATTCATTTCTTTGATTTTTTTTTTTTTGTGTTTGAGTAATTATTGGATTCACCTGGGAAGTGAATAAAAAAAAAATCATTTTTTCACTTTACAAAACAGTAACCTAAATTGTCATTTTCTAGCTGCATGGTTTATATCAATATCACCAACATAAATGCAATTTTGTTGCTCATAGGATGGATCTTCAGTCACAGGAAAAAGAAGACAAAAGAGGAAACTGTGAAGCTACCTCTCTGCATGTGAGGTTTCAATATCAGAATCACACATACTGGTGATAGGGATCATCCAAAAGGAAAGTTCTATGGCCAAAAAGTTTCAGACCCAGAAAACAGCTGTGGTTCCTCACCAGTGGGAAGAGATGCAACTTGAACATGATCACTACAGAAGCATGAAAGCTTTGATCTTAAATGTTGAGGAGACTTGTCTGCTTCTTCTGGCCACTCATGATGCATGGAACAGAAAGCAAAGGATCACTGTTGAAAAGCTTCATCTTTGAGAGGCAGTTGTCAGTGAAGAAGACTCTTCATCACACATGGATAGTGGGTCCTAAGCTCTGCTATGATTGGCATTCATAAATGTTGCACATGCCTCATTTTAATGTTAACATTGATATATTCTGATCCTGGAGTTATCCAAGAGCATGTTGTTTTGTAGAACAAAATGCAAAAGCCAATGTAAGTTTGGAGAATGTGATTTTGATTCATGACTTTAAAGTAATCTAAAGAAGGGGAAGAAGATTAAGTATACCTAATGTTAGTGCCAACATCAAAAGCCCTAATGATTGATGTCAGGGTTTATGAAATAGGATCTTTGTGTTTATAGGAGGATTATGGAAACCATAATGCAGATGTAGACTTACTGGATCGGACTCGATAAATCTAATCAGAAACAAATCGGATAAAATTCATATATTGCTATGCAAAGAAAAAAAGAAACTAAAGTTCAAAGCTTAATTCTTAGTCGATGATCTACAGAAGATTTCGTCTTGCCGATCGCATGATAATAAGACACAATGAAGTTAGCATGTCTACACTAAATCAGAGGCTGATTACTGCTGCTTATAACAGTAATAAGAAAACAACAACCATCATTATCCATGTCTGCGATTTCAGTAACAATAAGAGATAATATTAAAAATATGTTCATAAAATTGGTGATGCAACTTTGCAATAGTTTTGTCTTAGAACTGTAATGGATCATAATAAATTGACGATCATTATCTTTTTAATCAATGAGATCCTCCAAAATCACCAACAAGAAACATGTTATAAGTTCATTGGTAACTAATTATCTCAGTGAAACAATCTTATACACAAATTTAGTCAAGAGATTAGCAGAAAACGAGTAGAAGATAGATTATTTGAATGAAGAACATGGAGTTGTGTGACTTGGGTAAAGGTTATTCTCCAAGCATGATTGAAGGCAGTTTTGTACAAATCCTTATTCTTCTGACCTCAGAAAACCTTGAATGCTTCATCATGGATACAGACTCAAGTTAAATTGTAAGGACCTAAGTGAAGTTGAAGCACTGCATGAATTGGAAATAAAGATGCACATAAATTGATCAGATCGGGTTTGAGTTTACGGAAATGAATAAAGTTTCCTCCTCTGAGCACATCATGGAGAGATTTCACAGTCTCTCTTTCAACTTTGTGTGGCAAAAGAACAACAAAACTCATGGTGACGGGAGAAGGATCCTTTAGAACACAATAGAAAACTCAAAGCAAATGGAAATTTTAAGTGCTATGATCAACCATGGTTACAATTAAATAAAAACAGAATAAGTATTATCTGATCTATCGAATGTAGTCTAGTCGGCTAGAACAGCCTTTACCGGAAAAAGGACTACCTCTATATTGTTTCTACCAAAGAATACTTTGCTCATACAGTGATTAACACTCATTCTAGAGAGATCAAATCATCATGTACTAAAGTTTTGCCTAATACATGCATTAACGCTTTCTTAGCAAAAGCAAAAAGTGTATTATAATGTAAATGAATACTCCTGTCACTAGAACATAATTACAACTACGATTCAGGAATGGCAATATAGCAGTACATATTTCACACTAATGCCAGTGTAAATGGAAGAACCATATACCAAAAGAAATTAAGGCTGAGTTCCATCTGTGTTCGTGTTTTCCATGATGTTCCAGAACCAACATCAATCATGATGTTGAATTTACAGGTTGTAGTCGACGGATCCTTCTCGGTGATGGTCGCCAAGCCTGAGAATCCACAGGCCCTGTCATCCTGGCCATTCTTCTGGTAGTAGCTGTTGAATGCATATGAAATGTTTCCTCGCACATCAAGATCCCCGCATGATGTCTTATATCCAAGGCTTGTGCAATCTGCTTTTCCACATGCATAGCTCACACTTGGCGCAATCTCAGAATCATCAAGATTAGCTGAAGGCTTCAGCACACACCATTTCCTGTCCAAATATTTGATATCCTTTGCTCTAATTAGTGTACTAGAATTTGATGCCGTGCGGAGATTTAGCTGATATTTTGGACTGCCATCGTAGGCAAAAATACCCCAGTGCCTCTCAAAATTACCTGGCTGGACACTCTTTTCATCTTCGTCGATCAAACTAAACAGATAGGCATCGATAGGTCCAGGTCTCAGTGGTGTGCCATTGCTATTTGAAATATGGTTCATGAAACCCTGATTGAATCGTTGAGCAAACAGTGGATTTGCATTTATGTCTCCATCGGTGGGCCAACCGATCTCACCAACAATGATAGATACATTCCCGAAGCCATTCTTCTGCAGTGCCGCTATGAGAGTATCATGGTTCGCATCAAACACATTACTGTACGTAATTGTGCCATCAACTATAGGGGTTGGAGAACCTTCAAAGAATGCATAGTCCACAGGAAAATTGGGATCGTTGTAGAGACTGATGAACGGGTAAATATTGACGGTAAAGGGAGCACCATTGTCATTAAGGAATTTGACGATAGAAAGCATGAGATCATGGATGTCCGTGCGGAAATCTCCACCAGAAGGTTTATCGCTTGATGACCCATAGACATCAGCATTGAGAGGGACTGTGACTTTGACCTGGTTGCTCAATCCAGCTGCGATAAGAGCTGCTTGGATATTTTGAAGTGCTGGGTATGTCGATCGGAGAAAAGTCCCATTGTATGTCTCTAAGAAAGGCTCATTACCAACAGCCACGTACCTGTCGATAAGCGTGAGATAGTGCTTAACAAGGCGAAAGAAATATCATAAAGCTTAAAAGAAACAATAATCGATCATTGCAGGTTGCATATCTTTAGCTGTCATACAGGAGTGGTTAGCATATATTGATCAGAACCCGTGATAGGTATCTGAAGGCTTCAGCTGTTTTAGGACTAACTATGCTTAACACTTATCATTTGCAAATATCCACTTTTGTCAAAACAAAGCCGCTAAGAGAGTTCTCCTAGTTTTGTATAACAAGAAACATATAAGGAAAGGTCTTTCAAATATGTTTTGAATCATTTCAATTCCTGTCATTGTATCAAGAAAGTTCACATCATTTTCTGTCATTGTATCAATATGTTTTGAGAAATTTGTGTACAGAATCATGAGTGTCATACAAGCACTCATGACCACAGTCAAAATTAATACTTACCATGAATTGATAAAAGTTACTCCAAGTACCTGTAAGCGCAGTCAATTTACTTACTGGGAGATCTTAATTTTGAGAGAGAATCGAATCTTAGTTTCTTTAAGCTGCCTCACATGTCATTGGAATTGAGCTTGTTATTCAACTCAAGCAATGGCATCTTAACTTTGAATGCTAAACCAAATACAGTAACTGTTGTACAAAGAGATTACTGCTATTATCTAAATAGATTAGTTGCCATTTCCGAATCTGCAAACAGTTTCAAAGCTGAAAACAAGGATCATTTGTAATAATGTTAGGTAACAGAGAGGACGAAGAACACATAAAGAGGGTCCAAGGAAACCAAAATATTCCTTGCATCTTCAGGTACTGTATCCACAGCAAGTTCATGTTTGATACATGGAATTGTTCTTCATGTTATTTTTATTCCATTATTCACAACCAAATTGGGTGAATTTGGATCCTATAAGATGATCACCATCTTAAAAGTGCTGAATCAATCATTTGAATCACTTGATCCTTATACTGCAGATAAAGACTGCATTCTTCCTTCAGTTTCAACAACATAAAAGAACTGCATAATCAAATAGATATAAGAAATTGAACCTGATATCAACTCCATTGTTGATATATTTCGAGACATTCTTCGACACCCATCTCCCCGCCGTCTTCTCGTCGGCCGCAAGGCCAGCCAGCATGTCGTTGGGAATCCCCACCATCACCTGAATCCCGGTCTTGGCAAGGGCACTCAGAGTCCTATCCTCTGCATCAAACAGCTTCACCTTCTGGATTCCATTGTCCTTGAGCATCTGAACCACCGTGCGCGGCGGCAGCCGGTGGCTCGCCTGTGTTCCCCAGTTGGCACCAATCCCACACACACCCCCCACCAAACAAAGCCATGACACCACCTTCAGGAGCTCAGATGACCTCCCCATCTCAAACTGCTGATGCATCATCCCCCTACTATTGCAACCAACTCTGAGCTCGAATTAAGCTTAAGAAGTATTACTGGATTAAAGCAGAGCTCAAAGGTGCAAAACCCCTCAAGAAGCAAAGCACACAAGCAACCGAGGCTCATAATTCTGCTGCAAAAGAAGATGAAGGATCGAGGAATTCAACTTTAGACAGGTAAGAACTCATCTGCTGCACTGCACCAACTTTAGAAACCTAAAAGATAGCAGGTGGGGAAGAAGCGTGGTTTTCTATCACAGAGAGATGACGGTGCGAAAAGGAAGAGTGGCTTCTGGGAGAAGAGGAAGCCAAGAATCTTGTCGTGGAGTGAGAGCAGAGATCACGTATCTGACAGCAAACGAAATGCTCTACGTGGTGGCCAATATAAAAGATCATATTGCGAACGTAAAGGCGGCACATTGGTTCGTCTTTCTCTTCTCGTTAGGAAAGAAGAGAGGGCGGATTTGTCGGAGTTGGCTTGAGAGTGTTCTGGTGATGCTTACACTGACAACACCATGGTCAAAAGGTCGAAAGCACATTCCACTTGGCCTTCCACAAGCTTCCATGGCGACCCACATCTCATCTCTGGAACATCCTTTTGTGTTACAGAGCATGTTTAACTGTGAATACATTTCAGGAAGAACTTGCTCATGGATATTGATTTCACCTCTCAAAACATTACTTATAAAAGCTTCTGTTTGAGAAACAGTAACATACACTATAACATGTCATCTGAGATGAGATTTGAGAGAGAGAGAGAGAGAGAGAGAGACAGGAGCAGGTTAACAGATGCAACCAAAAAAGAAACGAGAACAGTGGATTGGGCACCTGCAAAGAAGCATGTCAAAGAGAGTGCTTTATCAAGGTGCGGAGTCTAAAAGCCTGGATGCTAATAATGTCATGCTCCAAGACTTAATGTTATCACATTTTTGTAACAAGTTGATTTGATTCATCAAGTTGTTCTACAAAACACAAAAAGAGGCCTTCGATCCACCAGACCAAAGTCCCTCATCTCAGACCAAAACAAATTATTCATGTAATTTTGCATCCACCATGATCTAGAAAAAAAAAATTGAAAAAGTTATCATGAAAAAAGCAGCGTATAAGAAAGCATATATAATTCGGCATACAGAGGGCTTTCTCATCGAGTGTGTTGGAAAAATACATCAGACGGATGAAGGCACAACCCATAAGAGCATAACCCTCCGCCGAAAATTAATTTGCACTATGTCTACAGCAGATATGTCTCCACAACTGTTCTACCAAACTTCTCTTGAACATCCTTGGGAGTTTCGATCTGTTTAGAAAAAAATTGATATAGGCAAATTATGTCACTTAAACCAACAACTGACAGGAATACAGAAAAATCATGGCGAACATGGTTTGGCGATATCCAACTTACAGCATTCAGGGCTTTGAAGAGAGCCTTGATAACGTTAAGGGGGTTCCTTGATCCAATGATCTGCAAGTAAGAGGAGCATAAGCAAAGAGTGGATATATAGAACAAAGATGGTGCTAAGGTCTCCTTGATAAATGCTGCACCTTCGACTTGACATTCCTAAAACCAGCCAAGTACAGGACAGTTTCGACAGTTCTGCCTGCTGCTGACATTCCACTTCTCATAGGACCAGGCCAAAGGTATATCTAACAAGTATTTTGAATAAACATGACCCAGGTTAAACACCTCAAAATAATTAAAGAAAAGGAGAGACGGTGAGGTGTTCAGAAATCCATATGCACCTTGCTTTTCTCATACTTGGCTTGGATAGCATGAGCAATTGTGTGTTCTTCATACCGCTCCACGTAATGAAGATTTTGGAAACATTTCTCATATGCCTGCAAAGTGAAAGTGTATTTGTTGGTGCTTTATAAATGAATTTACGATTGTACCCTACTTTTGAAAAATAAAATCTACTGCAGACTGCAACTAATATATTATTCATATACAAATAAGTATAGGTGCTCTTCCTTTTAAGGAGCCTTTTAATGTCAAGAATTGAGGCCTATCTGTTCAGGTGTTCAACATTTATCTGAGTGCCAATATGTCATTTGCATATTGTCAGGAAATAACATGATGTTTCCTTTGTAATACTGCATTTGGGTTTTAAAAGGATATAAAGAGTAAGCATGCCTAAAATAGGCATACCCTTTTATGAGAGAGTTTGAAAGAGTTTAAGAGAGTGTAAGAGTGAAATGGATTGAAAAAGAGGAGAGGAAAGGATTTAAAAACCATTTAGGATGCCTCCAACGATCAAATTGACCATTTGAAAACTATTATCTATCGGTACCGCACGGTACAACCCCGAATCGCTCGATGTGGGGTCAGAAACCAGATAACGCCTGGTAGCAGGCAGTCCACATGCCAGCCTACTGGCGGATCGGTATGTACCGCCCGTACTCGGCGATACGATACGAAATTAAAAACCATGATTGTAGGTAAGGAGTAAAAAAGAATTATTGGAATTAAATTATAAATTGAGGGCATATACGTCTATTATAAAGGCATAATTTAAAAATATTCAAAGTTTTTAACATGGAGTTGTAAATAACAAGGGGGGTTGCAAATAATAATCTCCTATAATAAACACTTAAGATATGGATATATCAATTCTAGATTTTAGAGGAGTTTGAAAATTTGCTCAGTCAATCCATTTTTAGCATTCCAGCAGCAGATTAGGTTCAAATAGCATCTTCATCAACCTTATCACTGAAGTTGGCATTAAAATTTATGGTGAGTCTAATCATAACCGGTCTACCTCAGTTAGTTGATTTCCAGTACAAGACATCATTTTGTGGACAAACAAGCTAACATTTTAACAGAACCAATGAGGCATAGATCATCATCATTAACAGCATTTATGCAAATTTAGAACTGCATGGCCCATGAATTGTTCAACTACATACCCTTTGGATAGCAATATTAGCAGTTGGTCCTCTAGCCTTGGCAAAACCAACAACTCCATGGTAATTCCCAGTGGCTAGCAATGCTGTGTATTTTGCAATTCGCCCTCCCTAAAGTTGAATGACAAAATAACATGAATCTTGAAAAATGACCACATCCAGAGAATGTTAAAGATCAGAAAGTTACTTACCTTTGTAACTTTACATGGCCGATTGACATCAATTACCTTTACATCAAAGCCCTGTAGTTATTTCAAAAAAGTCAATTTAGATTTCAATCAAAAGAAATAAACAGCTCCAAATTAATAGAAGTTACTCAAAGATTGGAAAGTCTAAAAGCAGCATCAAATGACAACCCTAATATGTAATGCAGGCAGCTAGGGCACATGACAACATCATTATATATAAACAAATGGCTGGGATGCATGGCCCAGGTTCCAGCTCGGAATAGAATAAAGGCCACTTTTCTTTTCGTGTCTTCCCCCCTTTCTTTTTCCCCCTTAATTTCTTACTATAGTACACCAGACAGTAGAGTCAGCAGCTTTCAAGTTCCAAAAGGTATATGCAATTAAATAAGAAAAAGTTTCATGGTTTTTTGCAATTTAGATGATTAGCACAAACAACTATCATATGAGTGACTTCTATAAGAAATCTCCTAGCAGAATGAGAAGCATATATCCTTGTGAATAACAGTATGTTAGTAGGGATACCCTATGTACAAGCCACAAAATTGGCATGAAAATGTGTTGATGCTATCAAAATGACTCAAATGGGATTTTTTTTAATGCACAAACGTGTACATATATGTGTGTGTGAGCGCATGCATATGAAATGTATTATGGTGCAACTGGTGATTAGGGTTCAAGTCATAAACATAGTCTCTTTGCTTGCATGGGAAAGGTTGTGCATATTGACCCTTCTAGACCGACCCTACCTTGATCAATGTGCATTGGGCCTTTTACTAGGATGCAACTAGTCTAAGCTCAATCTATCAGTTTCTGACATGGTATGTGGCATGTGCCCTATCCTTTTAGTCATCATGCCCTCTGTACATGCCAAAATTTGGCATGGCCATATGTTAATGCTACTAGCATGACTCAACATGTGCTAAATAGCATGGGAATCCTTGTATTGTTACATGTATATGTGCTAGGTGCAAGTAATTTAAGCTCAACTTATCATTGATAAGCCTGACAAGGCATTTTTAAAGCAATATATAATAGCAAACTCATATTTGCAATCATCTACTATGAACATAAATTTAAGCCTATTGGATTGAGATAAATCTTCTCATGTACTCGAAATCAGAGAGAATATACCTAAAACATTTAGCTTTAAGTGAGATCTGAAAATTTTATATGACTTACTTTTCTGTAGAGGGGTCTTCTTTTTTTCTCTGTCAGAGAATTTCTCTCCTCAACGAGATCTTTAATTTCCTCTTCCAAGACTCTGCTTTTCTTCCCAAAAGTATGATCAAGTTCTGCAAGCTTCTCCTCTAATTTCTTTTCTATGGCATTAAGTTTCTCTATCAGAACATCATCTTGCTCCTTTCTTTCACTGAAATCTTCGTCATCTTCCTCCAGGCTCCCGTGTATCATAGATTTCTCCTTATCAAAACCAGCACTGTCTACTATATCTTCAGGAGAGGCAATTTGCCGATGCTGAATAACTCCAAAATTTGCAGGATTATTTGGGTCATAGGCTTCCTTGCAGTCCATCAGCCTAACAGCTCTATTTAGCTTTTGGAGGAGAATGAATCTTTCTTTTCCAGTAGATTCCTTAAGACGATTCATCAAATCACCAATGACCCTGTATTCCAGAGGAAGTTTCAAATGTCGCTGCTCAAATTTGTCAATTTTTGTCATCCATTTGTGAGCTTCATCAAGAGTTTCTGTCAGAAATAAACAAAAAAAAAAGCTATCATGAAGCAACCAGCACACTGAAATATTAACTAACTCTGTGCGACAAAGAATTTTACATTGAAATTCACTAGAATTTATACATTTCGAAATATATGATAAAATGTATAAAACAGATGCATGATGTAATCAGCTAGATGGTTTAAATATGTATTACAGTTACCATAGACGTTAAATGAATTTAGACCATGATAATATGTAATTCAGTGTTAATTGTGAACAGAAACTTTACTTAGCTATTAGATTAAGGACTCTCTTAAATCCATATCCTGTACACTCTCAAATCGGAATGATTGCAGTTTAAGACTTTAAGTAATACGTCAGATCCATATCATAACAGTACCAATAATCTGTACCAACTTTCTTGTAAATAATCATTTTTGCTCCTGATATTATTGAGTTGCTTGCTTCTCTCCTGGTTCTCCATCACTATCACAAAGTTGATTCACCTTTTTCATTCTCATTCTGTTCTGAAGACGTCCTGTAATTGTCTAGACCAAGCTCACAGTTCATTCTGCTAATCGATCTTATATCAGATTTGGTTATTTTTCATTATTATCAGAATTACTTAATCTACTTCATGACAATCTAAAATTCCAAATGAACACCTTGCATTTACCAGATGCTTCCTAAAATTCCTTCTCCTATTGGTCGTAAAATAATACATTCAGCAGAATGAATATTTCACAATGATTTTTACCTGGCATCACTTCATACCCCCACAAATTCAAGAAAGTGCTCTTGACTAGCATGATTTTTATAAGATCTGACAATTTGAAGGAAACATGAAAAAAATGAACTGCACCAAGTAAAAAATGATGAAACTTGCCGTAATATTATCTCCAAGGATCCCTCTCCCCACAATTTATCATTACTAGAAAAAAAGCTAAATTTCCACAGCCAAACAAAGGAAGTTTAATGACTTGTTCTCTCCCGACAATGATATGCAAACTTTGCACGGCATACAACTGCTCAAACACAAGTTATCTCTTCACAAGATCAAATCTTTAACCTTGAGCAACACAGATTTAGCATGATCGAACGTCCATTCCAACAAATTTCTTAGCCGTAAGTAATATAGACGATTTTTAACAGGCATTGCAAATATCATTGAAGTAACCAGATTCAAGAAAGTCCGAGAAGTACCGGCCTCGGCGAAGTTCTTGAGCAGCTCCGCGTGCCGCTTGCACTTCTTCTCGAACTCATCCAGCCGCTTCTTCACCTCATCGGGCGAGAACCTCTCGTCGTCATCGCTCTCGGAGTCGGTGGGTACCCAGAACCGATCGGTGCCATCCAGGTCCTTCGCCTTCTTCTTCTCCAGTTTCTCGATGAGCGGGGTGACCCCCATGTAGTCCTCCTCGTCCTCGTCCTCGCCGTCTAGGGCGACCCCGGCCTTCCGCCTCTCTTCCCTAGCCATCTGCTTCTCCCGCTCCACCGCGGCCAAGAGCTCCTGCACCACGCGGTCCCCCATCACGGGGTTGGTGGAGAATGGGCGGACGGATCGGAAAGCGAAGGTCGTCGTGTGAATGGGGAAGGGCGGATGGGTCGAAAAGGGAGGGAGGAGGTGGATCCGAGGGATCCGAAGAGACGGGCAGAAGGAGAGGAGTCGCGACCATGAAGTCTTGAGCTTCGTGGCGATTGCCGCCATGGATGGGGGACGAGAGCCAGAGCGAGAGAGAGAGAGAGAGGGTTTCGGGAAGACACAGGGGTTTTGTGTTTTGTTAATTTTTATGTGATATAAGCGAAAAAACTATGACCTTTGGATCTTTGATGGACGGTCAGGACATGATGCAATCGATTGTCATATCATCTTTCATGATCAACTTACGAATAAAGGAACGACTTCGATCGCCCATTTGGTGCCTGACACGCAGAGAGGGATGTTATTTGTGTCGTTACCTAAGTAGTGACATAAATCAGTATAAAACAGTTCATATGTGGCCCGTCATCTCACGACATATTCCTTTTTATTGTTTATTTTTTATTATAATTTTTTTTCTCGTCGCCAGCAGATTGATCGAGACGGATTGCGATACCATCATTAGCCCGACATAAGGATTAGGGTTAGGGTTACGGTTACGGTTCCGTTGCTTGTGGCGGCCAGCGGGAGGAGAAGGTCGGAGGAGGAGGGAGGGCGGGGGGAGCGACCGATCGACTGACCGACGATGACGGGGAAGGCGAAGCCGAAGAAACACACGGCGAAGGAGATCGCGGCAAAGATCGACGCGGCGACGACGAACCGAGGGGGCGGCAGGGCGGGGGTGGCGGACCGGTCGGGCCAGGAAAAGGGCGGCCACGCCAAGCTGGAGTGCCCCCACTGCAAGACCACCGTCCCCGACCTTAAGTCCATGCAGATACACCACGACGCCCGCCACCCCAAGATTCCCTTCGACGAGTCCAAGCTCGTCAACCTCCACACCAGCCACGCACCTGAGACCTCCAAGGCCCGCCCCGGCGTCCGCGGCAGCTTCAAGAAGTAGCGCCCTCTATCGCCTCCCCTCATTGGTAATCCTACTACTAGCATGTTCCTCAGTTCGCCCTTGCCTGCTGCTCCTACTTATATTAGTATCATCGTCATCGTTGTCGATGTGCTTCTTGTACCTCGACCTTTGTGCACGATCGATCGTCATGTCGTCCTATGTGTAGTATGACAAGCAGGTATATGTTTGTGTGGTGGAGAGACGTGAATAAGTTATTATGATCAGACCCTGTTATATGGTATTCCTACTATTATCATCTTTCTTAACTCACGCGTCGCCTCTCTTTCTAATTTTTCTATAGCTTCTCCAGGATAATTGGGTTCTCGATTACTTGTTGGAGTTTTCTGTTTTTGCTCTGTTGTGTGGAAACTTTAGTTAATATTGGAAATAGATGTAGTCGTTGCCTTTTGAGGTGTTTAGATTGCATGATTGTGATTGATGCATGTCAAGATAGTTGTTTCCAGATCTAGCTAAACTGAATAGAAATTCCTGTTTGTTAGTTGAATTATGCTTGGAAGTATGAGGAAAATTACGTACCAATTTTTGCTATGAAGTATCTATAGAGATTTGAAGGATCTCTGATGACAGGCCCAGTTTTGTGGAAATGATTCTGTAAGTAGATTTAGCATAGAAAGAGGTAAATATTGTAGTAGTGGCTTAGTGAGGCCAAAATTGGTACTTGGAGTGCTGTCACAGTTCTGTAGGTCTAGTTGCTAATCTTCGTGGGTTAGCTCATAAGGCCATATTTTGAAAAAAGAAAAAAGAAGGCTTTTTTTTTATGAAGATATAGACTTTAGTATATAATTTCTGATTTTTGAAGTACTTAAGCATGGTCAAGGGTTTAGCTACTAATAAGTCCCATATCTTTGCCTGCTCATCGTGCATACTGTTTCTTTTCACAAACTAAAAGGGAGGAGGTAGCCAGTAGGATTTTTAGTGGAGATGGCTTGGGCACAACATGATATCACACTTGTCAAAGACATCAGGTTTTAAGAATATTTGATAGAGGATGTCCAAATACAGTGACAACGAGAGTGTAATTGGAAGGATGCACCATTTTTCAGTAAATTTAGTATACCATTAACTTAGAGCTGTTGTTATATATGTTGCTTCTGTGTGCTGAGGTGCCTTTGAGATTTTGGAATGAGTTGTGCTTTGCAATCATAAAGTTCACAATCTTGCTGATATTACAAAAGTATTTTTGGTAGTAAGGAATTCAAGGTTATGCAAACGTAGGTACAAGATCTCTTTGTCTTAGTTATATAGCCCTTAGCAAGTGACACTTGTGATTCTAGTTGTTTGAATAGAACAGGGGAAATTGGGAAATATTTGAAGTAGTTACTTAAATGACAATAAAAGAAAAGGGACCAAAATAGAAAATCTTTGCACGTTATGGTTATGGTTTAGAACAAATCATAGCCCTGGTTCAGATGTCAAGACTATAGCTTGTTGGTTCTTGTATAAGTGCCGAACTGTGGTCGTTGATGGGACATGCAAAATGGTTATCTTGATATTGATAAACAAGGAAAACGTATATGTGCCAAAGTTCTTATGATGTCTCCCATCGATTGTTTTTCTTTACATCATAGTTATGGCAGCCCTCCAGAGTGCCTTTTGTTAGCTTGCATCTGCTTTTACTGCTTCACCACTGCATTATCCAATGTTTAGGCTTTGCAGTTGATCCCTAAGCTGCCTGGCTGCACTAACTTCTGTGGTTGAATATGTTGTTTTGGTGTTTCTTTCTTTTTCTTATTATTATTGGGTTATCATATGCTGTACATATGGGATATTTGTCATTTGTTTTTTATTCTTGATTTAATACTCCAGATGTGAACTTAATAAGAAGTTATTATTCGTTACATACGTTGAAAAGGATGAACTATAGCTATTAACACTAATTTCTCTTAATAATTTATAGGCTGAATCTAGATAAACCATGCGAAGTTGTGAGCTAAATATTAAGGATGTAGGTCTTTCATGCTAAGACATGTGCTGGCATGGTATGTGCTATGTTGTTTCCCGATGGTGACATGTGCCATTGATGGATTATATGAGTGCTGGTACATCTCATGCATCAGCATGCCATAACAATGGCCGGTGCAATAGCATGTTTGATGCATACACCTCATGCTCATAAGATTATTAAATTTGCATGTTGGCAACCTTAGTACTATTCTTTGCTAGTAATTGAATGACATGATATTGGCTTTCAACTGGCACACTGATTCATTGCTTTTCTTATAAGTTCAAAGGGGAAAGAACCAAGAGATTGGTTATATTTTATTGTGCAAGATACTGATAAAACGTTTCTACTAGTTTGGCTTCATTTTGAAGGTTAATTGCATCTAAGTTTCAGACTATGAGATGGAATCTGCGGATTGCTACCTATTAGTGTATTTGAGAGTAGTGATCCTTATCACATGAACAGGTAAATAGAAGTTACAATCTTTTTGTTGTTCTTTTGCAAGCTTTACACTTGGAATCTTCTCTTGCTATGATGTCAAAAAGGTTAGAATTGTGCTGCCTTTTGGAAAAGGTCTTTAGAAATGAGTTATGGCACTAAATGCATGGAGTATCTGTGTTTCCCTTCAACAGGAACGGTTGGTCTGTGATTGAATCTTTTGTTAGATTAAGCATTCCTATATGTAAATTCTGTGTGATAATTCTGCTAAATATCCTTGAGTTGACTGGTCATTATGTCAAGACAAAACTTGATGAGCCCTAAGGAGATTCTGACATGCTCATAGGGTTACTCGAGGTATGGGAACAAAAAAATACCTTTTTGGGTTTTTATTAACGAGATGTTTGGAAGTTATTCTTATATGGATCTAACTACGCTTAAAAGCAAGTTGTTAAATATACTGGAGCTTCTCGGACATTTTGTCTTAGATTACAGTGCGCTTTTGGACAGTTCTCCTATTCATAGTATGATTTATATTTCAAAGTCTAGGCTAACAGGGAGCTTTGACTTGAGTTCTTGTTATGTGACTTAAACATAGTGATGATGGTTTACTTGTTCAATTAGGCATGTATTAATTTCTAACAATTTGCTTATAGAGTCCAGTCTACATATCATGTGCTGATGCATGAGTGCTAATGATACAATATAGGCTACATAAGCATGTAATGTTATGCAATCTAAATAGTTTCTTTCTATCTGAATGTAATTATGTGTCTGGAGCACATCTGACAAGCAAATGCTGATCATGTGGGAGAGAGAGAATTTTGGAGGAAGACAGCCATCACCAAATTGCAAAAATGGTAGTAGTAAATGAAACATTTTAAGACAGCAGCAGTAGGTGCTAGATAGCATTCCCAGTATAATCTTGAAGAGAAAATAAACCAGTTATTCCTCATCTTTGTTCTTCATTTGATGCAATCCCTAATTGGTCTTTTAGAACATGAAGCTGCTTCATCCAGGTTAATTTCATCTCTTCAAGAAGCCTGAAACCACAGTAGGCAATATATATCAAGCTGTTTTTGTTATTATCAAAATGTTTCTATATACATATCAAGTTTACCAACTTCCTAGAGTGGCACAGTGTCTATAACAAGATATGTTGAAGTGACTTTACCTTTGCCTTTGTTGTTGTCAGCACTTTGTGTTCCATTAAAAATGTCCTGTTGGTAATGTTTTCCTTTGCTTTGACAGGTAACACAGCATGTTAGACATTCATAAACCTCAACCAAAGAGAGTTCTCACAAAGTTACCTCGCAAAAAGGCAAACCGAAATAATCAGATCATCAACTAGATTCAAATAGCATGGACTAAAATTTAGGTAAGTGGGTGAAAGGGATGAACTAACACAATAAGTGATTCAAAGTTGCTGTCAAATGTGTTCACATGCAAGTCTTCTTCTTTGCAGATGATTTATCATAGGCATAAGTACAATTGTTTAGTTACATAACTGGAACATACCCTTCCTGACCATGCACTAAGCATGAAGCATGTAATACCTTTGCAATCAAGCACATTGCAATATCTAACCTGCATGCATGCCTTGCATATATCACCATGGTTGTCCTAAACATATGATAGTAAACTATAAACAGGTTAAATACAAAAAGAACATTGCGCTTGACTTTGATCAATTATTCCCCTTGAAGTGCTGATGGTTCATTAACATTCTCCAAGTTTATGTAGCACCAAATTCTCTTATTTCAAAAATTACTGCCCATTGTTTGATTTCCTTTCTGTGGCCAGCTCCAACACCACTGGTGCTTACTTCATGAGTTCATAGTTCTGACCCACAAGAAAGACAAACTGGACAGTAGGCAGAATAGATGGATCAGAGAAGACCATTTATCTGCATGAAATAAGAAGCTGATGCTTCATTGATGACCTACACTGTCTCCATAGGTCACTGTTAAGAAGAATCCATCTGACATCTAATCGGAGGATAACAATCAAACCCATAGTAGCCAATGCCCTTACTGCATTTGTTGTTTATTATGTCTATTATATGATTTGTATCTGAACATGGTGGATGTTTGCAAGACAGCTTACTGTTTCTGCATGATATTGAGTGCATTGTTTGGATAAGCATTAGATGATTCAACCAAATGCATAATCATCAAGGGTATGTTCTAATTATTTGATTATTATTAATATTTATTTCATATTAAATAAAAAATTAAAGTGAGAAACTATTGAAATTATATTTATCTTAAAGTTTAAATATTCCTTTTCAACAAGTGCTATATATATTTTAGGTGAGTCCAAAAATTATAGCTAAAGAAAAGTACCAAAAAAATAAGTAAAAAAACTCATATGTGACTTGATTATTGAAAAAGACTCAACAGTATTTAGCTATTGTTTCGAAAGCATACTAGAGAGAGAGACAACAAACCATATTGTTACCCCTTGTTCTAAGGAGCTTAACCTGCATGGAACGAAAAACTTGGACGTGGCTGTGGCAGTGGCAGTATCTGTGAGAAAGAAAGAGAGACTAACGAGAGGTTGAAGATGGTGGGGGAGGCGAGACGGAGGCTGAATGACACAGAGACGAAGCCAATATATAGAATTAGACTGAGCACCACCACGTGCGAAGAAGAAAGAAGACAAAAGCAGCAGCAGCACGCTGCAATGCGATCACTAACACGTGTGGTGGTCGGTGCCCTCTTTTGCAGCGGACCCCTCTCTCTCTCTCTCTCTCTGCATTAGACATGTTAACACCGAGGCATATTTACTCTCTCTCTCTGCATTAGACATGTTAGCACCGAGGCATATTTATACTCTCCTAAATCTCCTCACGACACATTTATTTTCTACATAGATGACAGCAATTGCACCGCCCAAAGATGGCATCAACTCCTTGACAATAGAAAAGGACTTGCAGCTGTCACGGAAACAATAATCTATGTTCTCCATCACATCATCCCAAACCTTTTGCTCCCCTTCTCTTGGTTGGGTCTCTCTGCCACCTCATTTTGTAGTAATCTTACAGTGCGTGCTCTTGATAACATGTTTGTAGTTTCTTTCCCACACAAACATGAACACAAAGAAATGATAACATGATGGACTGGTATGGTAGCCAAACAAGGACTAGCCACAATTTCTATTTCTACAAGCAATAAACTCTACAGAAAAAAAAAAAAAGAAGACTCTTGCATTTGATGTTGTTCTCTATCAAAATCAATTTAGGAAGGAAGCTGCCACGAACAACTAATAATGATTCATGAGGCAATGAAGCCTCGGCCTAAGGAATCACCGAAAAGCTAGATGAAGTGTCGGCTTTCTTCATAAGGGAGACATTTTCGAGATGAGTTGCATGTTCATGGCATCCACATATGGCTGATTCAGTCTCCTTAAAGCGTGCCCAAGTTACCAAGTATAAGCCGATAACGATGAAAATCCCTCCTACAATGCTGAATCGAACAAAAAAACAGAGAAGTAGAATAATGTGTGAAGTTTTCCAATCAAGTAAAGTCCAAAAAGTGTTTTAGCAGGGTATTTTCTCTGCACGTAATAAATAAATAAAAAAGTGAAAAAAGAAATAAAATACAAAAATGATTTATAAAGGCATTACTACATATGCTACATGTTGAGTGGCACAGTGACAGCATATTTCAGTATAAATGTGTCGGAAAGGCAATGATACAGCAGTAGATGAAGACATCTTCAGCAACCATCGTAAACAGCCACAAAATGAGATACTTTGTGAGAGGCATGTCGATAAATTGAAGAAGATAGGTAGCAAGCAAAATATGCAAGAAGATGGACCGGAGCCATACCTTCCAAGATAAATGGAGCTTCCGAGGAAGATCATTGACAATACACTGGATGATGCGGGTTGAAGAGGATTGTACAGGGATACCATTGAAGGCCCTAGAATTTTGTTGGACCATGTCATTATCCCATAGTTCATCGCAGATGCAACAATTCCCTGAAAAAAGTGGGTCATTTGATCTCTTAACAAGTCATGTTGATAATGTAGTTTGAATGCTTTCCAGTATAACTGGTAGTAACACCATGAAAAGCTGACGCAAATTGTGAAAATTATGATCCCATGTTCAGTGTGCCACATAAAGCAGAAAAAGAAAAAAATCAACATATTCCCATGCAAAAACTGAGGCTTACTGCATATAAGACAGCAATTATCTCCGGTGGTGTCAACAGCCACTCTGTGTAACCATTGGTGGTAAATATTCCAGTCAATACCATCATCAGAGCCCCGAAAGAGTATGAATATGCCGTCAAAGATAAACTGGCAGGATACTTTGTCAGCACTGGAGCCTGAAACAGTCAACAGCAAGCAAGAAAACCCTCATATATAATACAAAAACATACACAATCACAAACGAGTAGAAATCACTACTTTGGCACTTTCAAATATCTTACATGTTCCAAGACTATACATTACTTGATAAGATTGTATTAGAGAAATTTTGCTAATTCTAAAGACGATAAGACAAGTAGTTAGAATCATTAATGAGTTATTCTGTTCGATAAAGCTACCACAAAACATAACCTTGCATCTTTCAAGATACCCTTATACAAAAAAACTTGACACCTGCGCTGTGCTTCTTATAGTTCGTTTACCGCCCATCTTCTATAAACAAGATATGCTGAAACATATTGTCTGGATTCCCATAATGAGGATTGTTATGATGCAAATTAAAATACCTGCATAACAAAATAGGCAGCCATGCAGAAGCAGTTCCCTATCAAGCACAAAACACCGATATGCCACTTCTCAAGTCCAAATCCAGTGAGAAAAGATGCTAACCATCCAGCCGATTGAGATTGAGGTTTCATGGTTCCCACACTATAATAAGATAGGTCAACGATATTGGATCCAACAACAGCTGGACCTCGATAAAGGACCATTAGTATTGCACCAGAAACGCAAACAAGCGTCCCCACAACCTTCATACGACCTTCGTTTGCATCCAAGTTTATTGTCTCAACACTGTAATCACATGTAAATGAATATAAAAAAGTATGAACTCAAGTAGATGCTAGGGAAACTTAAAACATAATCAAAAGCAAATTACCCCAGTACTACAGCCAAGATGAATGTAAAGACTGGTATTGAAGGCTGAATAGCTGCTGCATATGTTGGGTTTGTGTAGCTTAGGCCAAGAAGAAATAGAAGCTGGTTTGCAAATATCCTGATAAAAAAATATCAAAGCATCTAGTTTTACTTCTAAAACGTGTAAAGGAAGAAGAATCTGAAGTTATTTAGTGAATGATGGAACTTGCCCAGTGAAACCAAGAAGAAAAAATGATGCTAAGAGGCGCTGAGTTAGTTGAAGTCGGACGCTTCTGCAAACAATGGTACCACATTTACTGACCAATCATTCTCATCACATTATCAAACAATAAAAGAACCCACAGGAAAAGAATTCAATCTAAGATGCGATAGATTTCAATAAGAGGAATTAATATGAACCGACGAGAAACAAGAAAAAGTCCAGATGTAGGCATATTACTTTGAAGTTTGAACTTAACATTTTACTAATGAATCTATGTTTATCAAATACAATCTGACCAAACAGAACAAAGTGGAACATTTCACATTCGCCTCCAATTGGTGGAGTAGAAATCAATAACAAAATCAATTCACATCAGTGGCCAAAACGTATAAGGTTGAAACCAAGGTTTTAAATCCTGGTTAGATCAGTGTGGTACCAAGATACTGAACAATATCAACTTGTACTATCCGGCGTGTGCAAAATAATGAAAATTTAAATTTGAGCAATACACAGAGATGTACAGAGTTGCATGATTTGTTGCAATGATTGTACATACAGGTCTGACAGATATTTCATATCATGATTGAAACAAAATGGAGATCTGATAGTGTTCAGTTTAGGTTACCAAATTGAGGATGTTGTATGGAAAAAGATAAACCCACTTGATTTCTTTCTTCCATTTTCTAAACTCAAACAAAATTCTCCCCCAAATCATTAAGCACATCTTTGTTTTGACTCTTAACTTTCTCTTTCCTCACTTAACGAAAGCCTTTATCGATAGAACCATTGATCCCTCATGTATCTTCTCAATTAGAAGGTGCCAAAGAAGCGGGCATCCATGAGGAGTTGGAGAATTTTTGTAGCTGACAGTTGTTGGAATTTCTTTTTTCTTTCTTTCCTCAGACTTACTGTCTGCCAATCTTCTTCAGGATTTTGCTCAGCAGACAATTACTTCGTGAAGCAAGACAAACAACTTAATTCCTATTTCCTTGAATAACATCTTAGTAAGATGTAACACTCCAAAAAATGAGGAAGAATAATCAACGAGTTCACCTTCAATTCTCTTCCAACTATGACAAATGTGAGTTCATCCCTATGTCTGGACCAGAGTACTGGTTTAGTCATCAGATTGCAACTCAGTTGTTCCAAGTCTTCAAGTAACGATTCGAGGATCTAATAAATAATCCTAATCGCTGACTACGGAATCATAACCTCTTCTTTTTCCCTCCTCTCTCCATAATGAAACCGTTGACTCCAACATCTTCTTATTACTCTGCCTTTTTCCATCTCTCTGTCTTGCATCCTAAGGTTGGTTGGTCAATGTCTTGCATCAATATTTTGCTGGTTTACTCAATCTTTAAGCAACAGAGATCTGTTAGAAAATGATTGCTTTCTTCAAAGAGTTGCTCTCCAAACAAAGAAAGAAACATTTCCCGACCTCCTCATCATGACTCAAATTTCACACTCGTTGCCGCTTTTACTCGATCAACTAATACTCAATTTACCGAACCAGTATAGTAAAGAAATTAACCACCAAAACAAAACAAAGAGATTTTTTCCCTCAAGAAAAGAGAGACGAGATCAGAAACCTGCGGCACTGGAGGAGGTGAAAGGGTAAAAAAGGGATCTTCTTGCCTCAAAAGAAGAGGGGAAAGATGAGAAACCTGCGGTGTTGGAGGAGGGCGCAGGGGCCGAGGATGGAGATGGCGAGGAGGTCGCGGTAGACGCAGAAGACCACCTCGTTCATGCCGACGTTGAGCACGGACTTGGTCAGGACGTGGTAGCCGCCGTTCGCCATCTGCACCAGCGCCATCCCCAGGTGCGCCCGCAACACCTCGTTCCCCCTCACCACCATCCTCTCTCTCTTTCTCTCTCTCAATCAATCAATCACAAGGTGAAGAGGCGTTGGGGACAAGAAATTGGCCGACAAGGGGTTTATGGATCTTCATAGATCGCTACGACATTTGCAGCGGGTGTGGTTGTTGGATTGGGACGGAGACACTTCAGGCGTTGTCGTGAAAGCAAAGCCACGGAGGAGCCAACCGCAGGCGTGTCAGATTTATATGACTAGGAAAAGATTTACCGTTAGATTTGGGTGGAAAAAGGAGAAACAATAAGAAAAAGAAAAAAATTCATGAATTTTTTTCTTATTTGGGTGATTTTTTAGAAAATATTTATAAAAGATATCTTTTTATTTTTCCTCAAAGATAGATAAATCCTTTTCTTTATCATTTTTAACTATTAAATATTTTCATTTGATGTATTTATAATATTTTTAAATTATATTTACAGTGTTTTTATTAATATATTGAAAACACTAAATATTATTTAAAAATATTATAAATGAAATCATATTATATGATTATCATTGCTCATTAAATTATTATACTATTATATTTTTAGATCTATACTTAGTTTGATTGAGATTGAGAGTTCATTTAGATTATTTATGATATTTTCAAATAGATCTTATAGTATTTTTATTCTGGTAGTATAATAGACGAAATTTTTTTTGAAGGATGATTTAGATTTTTTAAATTAAAGATATTGTTTGAAAAAAATAAAATATGGATACCAATTAAGAAAAACCTAAAATACGATTTTTTGAGAAATTATCTTAGTTATTTATAAATATTTTATATGATTAAGATGGTATAAATAATTTTTCGCATACCCGATTTAATCTCATAGTAAAATTGAGAGAATACTTGAATAAATCTAAAAGGACTTGATGAGACTCGATAAGTTGATGCATTAGTTTCTCATTCGAATTAGATTGTTAAATAGCATTAGAATCAATATAATATTGAATTAAAAATTAGATAGGAGGACGAGAAACTTGAGAAGGAAAGAACGGTGGTGGTAAAAAAAAATTCACATTGTGTTTGCATAATACCTCAATAAAAAAAGATATGAGCATGTACTCATATCTCCTTAGTATTTTGGTTTATTTAATTTAAAAAATTTATATTAAAATTTCTATAATTATGAAAATATATAGGTTCATTTATTTTAGTAGTATTATCGATGAAAATATGAAAATAATATATAAAAAATAATTTTAATATTCTGATTGATGGTAGTGGACGATGTTGGAGGTAGCTGACAATAACACTATCGGGAGCTGCAAGTGGTTATTGTAGATAAGGAGAGCAACGAAGAGATAAGAGCTGCTTTGCATTTGTATCGACGTTGACATAATTACTGAATGATTAATTTCATTACTTTGTATTTGTGTTAACGTTGATGTAGTTGTTGAGTGATGAAGAGTTGCTTAATATTTACATTGACATCAATGCAGTTGTCGAGTAATTCTCATCTCTTATTATTATTTTTCTCATTCACAATAATCATCCGTGACTCCTAACGATGTCGTTGTCTATCATCATTGACGTCATCTTACATCATCAATTAAAATATTAAAATTATTATTTTACTTATTATTAAAACTAATGATATGATGATAAATAAATTTAGATGTTTACTATAAATATTTTAATATAAATTTTTTAAAATGAAAACATCAGAATATTAAAAAGGGAATAGCAAGTAGTTAGCCAGAATATATAATAGATTTATGATGATTTACACTTGTATTCCAATCTTAACTATAAGATACCGAATTGGATCCCGTATCGACACGTGTCACAGCCTTGTTCATCCATCTTTTGCATCAAATACCATCGCCCATTGGATGCCGGATCTCTCCACAGCCACCGACATTCGTCGTGTCCTCGAGGCTTCATCTCGCGGCCGCCGCCGCTGATGAACGCTACGATTTGGTACTCGCCGCCGCCTCCGGTTCGCTTGGTGCAGGTCGGGAACGCCGAGATCAGCCAGCGGACGAGCCAGCCGCTTCCCGCCTTGCACCAACTGAATCGGAGCCGGAAAGCGGCGATCTCCGTGTTCCGCTGGCCCCCGATTGCCGGATCGAGGTTGCCATGGTTTTCTGCGCTCCATCCGAGCATTTCTTCTCCTCGGACCGCGGAAAGTTGAAATCTTTCGAATTGATTGACCTGCGTTGCACTTAGGGTTTGCTCTTTCGACTGATTCTTGTTTCCTATCATCCCCATCCGGTGAAGGCTACTTGATGTTATTCTCGATCTCGGCATTGCACTTTTCTGCGATTGATTCATTCATTTCAACCACTGGAATAACTATTTTGGCGATAACTTCGAACTTTGATAATAGTTGCATCTCCATTTTTTTTCTCAAAGGATGAATCTGATTAACGATTACCTATATCTGAGCGTCAAATTTTTTATCCTAATTTGGTGTGTCTGTTAACTCTGGATATGATAAAAATTGCAATTTTTCTTTGATTACTTTCCTGGCTTGAATGTTTGAGTTGTGTTTAGATGAACATACAGATGAGATGTTTGAGGCAAGGGAAAGTTTTATCTTTGTTTATCTCTTGCAGATTTGCTTCTTATGGTCTTGGAAATTTCATGATACTACTTAAAAATGATGAATTTCCCATATTTCCGAAAAGCATCTTATTCATGTTTAGTGGTTCACTACATCATGATTCATGCTACCTAATATGATGAATACAGTCAAATTAGTTTCTGTTTATGGAGTGGAGATGCTGTGGGTTGACATGCATTGAGGTTGAGACAAAGGATGTGAAAATGCCTGTACCAAGTTGGCACATAACAGGAATGTAAGATAGATGAGGGTTTGTGAACCTTTCCCCAAGTAACAAAGTAGTCAATGAAATATTGTTTATATCCTTGTATATGATGGAGCTAATGTCTGAGACCATTGCTAGTTGCAGTCTCTTTTCTTCTTTTGCTCAATTGTCTTGTTCTATATGTCAAGAAGACCTCTGATAATTCTGTCTCACCTTTCATAAGTGATGATGCTTTTGTTCTTTGCTGACATTTCTGTTATACCTTATCCAAGATTGTAGCTCTTTCTTCTTTTTTTCTCTTTGCTTGTGTACCTAAACACTAAAGTTCAATTAGCAACATCTCGGCACCTGCTAACAACTTAACATTATGTATGAAGAAGGTGGGCACATTTATACAATGCATGCAAATCATTCATGTATGGTTTTGGTACAAATGTTAAGATTCACTTTTAAGTGGTTGATTGTTTTAGCTTTGCAATGTCTTACAAACTCACACTACAGATCTCTCCTTCAAGACCCAAAGATTTGCTGCATTCATCATCAACTCAGGCATACCTCCTTATGCTGTTGGACCATTCAGGAGTCTGCATACATTGCATCTTTGTCAAAGTGATTCAGATCAGACTCTACTTGTCACAGATTAATCCTTAATATGTCAGTGTTTCAGATCCAGTGATAAATGTTTTCCCCAAATCATCTGATTTATCTTCATGTTTCAGTCTTCTACTGCTAATGCCATGCAGGATTCAGAGAGCAGAATATGAGGCTTTATTTTACGGCTGCATTTATCTGATTAGCTCATAGTCAACTTCTCCCTTTTCTTCAAATACTATTTACAATTTGCTGGTAAAATGGCATGCAATTTTAGGAACATATACTATTTTTTTAATGAGAAGCTAAACTTGAAAATAGGCTGAGTACAGTATTTTTAGGCCCCTTTTCTTCAATTACCAAGATGTAATATTTAGATTTGCTGCTAACCAACAAAATAGAACAGATTTAGTTTTGATGGCCATTAAAACCCTAAAATGTGGTCCTCATGGAAAGGAAGGAGTCATAGTAAGTATGATTGACCATTTTAATGCATAATGCCTATGTGACTAAATGAAAGATAGCTATAAGTATAGACAAGACTAGGCATTCCTTGAATTGTGACCCAAATCCCTTATTATCATCAATGATGGATGATTTTGAATGCATTAGGCAGACACAATTACATTTTTTTCTTTTGACATGGACATGTTTATCCACAGGAGGTTCTTTTATACTGGACCCTGGATCATATTTATACTAGGGCGATTCTAATATCAAATTTGATCAAAAATTGATCCATCAACTTATGGAACCTGAACTGTTGATCTAGACTATTTAGACCAAGTTAATATTTGTCTTCTTGTTCTTTCTGGCCAATTTTTATACATTGTTCAGTTGGTGGAAAACATTGCATGACATGTATAAAGAGCATTGCAGAACCTTCTACTCTGTAGAGATATACATGAAATTCTGAAACTTCTATTATGTAGAGATGAACATATCAAATTAGAACTTTAAAGTTGCTGCAATAGCCCTTTTTTTTTCTTTTCTTTGAAATAGTGGGATAATACAAGTCACTTCCAATCTAGAAACATAAATTCAATCTTCAATTGTGCTAGAACATCTGATGAACTCAGCATAGCCCTAACAATGGGGAAGGCCAAGATAAATGTGATGCATGTTGTGGTTATTCTCAAGAAATGCTAATCCAATGTGCTGCTACTAACAAACAGATAGTATACAGAAAAACCAAAGAGATGTCATACACTACTTGAAGAACAGTAAATTTTACACACAAAAAAGCAGGAAAAAATTTCAACAGTGTAGATGTAGATAAATTAGTAATCTATCTTCACTGCTCAAACCAAAAGAGTATATAACAATATGCCAATGTACTAACCATATGCTTTCCATATCTTCATGACATGTTTTCACTAATCAATCATGTACTGAAGATCCTAAAATCATCAGAACATTGATCTGATTTCATAGCAAAAACATACAAGTAAAAAAAGGAGAATTTGGTATAGCATGACTCTTCTAAAACAAAACGAATGTACTATTTGGAATTAACACTGCTACATGCATCTTTATTTGCAGGAAAAGAAAGGAGTACTGATCTGTCTCTTGTATGGACTTCATACATCACTTGAGCTCTTCGTCGGTCGTCTTATACGTGCCTCCTTCACCGTCTCCTCGGTTTCCCGCGTCGCCTTCCCCTGCTTCTTCTGCTCCTCCTTCAGCAACGGCACGCCCAGCTCCGGAGGAAGCATCGTCGCCCTTCCCCTTTCTCCTCTGCGCCTTCTTCCGCCAGCAGAAACAAAAGCAGCACCTTTTCCGCTGCGGCGAAGGTGACCTTCGTTCTGACGAATCGACCGGGACCGGGGGCGGCGCTTCGTTCTCCAAGGTAAAGGTCTCTGCTTCGCGCCCTTCTGAGGCCGGGATTAGCCCATGGGGCTCCTTGGGGTCGAGCGGAGGTTTGGGCAAGGTCCGGGAGCGGTTCATTTGGAGGGCATCAGGGGTGGCGGTTTTGGAAAGGCAACCCGGGAAGGTTTTGAGTCTGTGTAAGCGGGATTCGGGATCGTCGGAGAGCTGGCAGGAATCAGAGAGGTAGGCGGCGGTCTGCTCGACTGCGCATAGGTCGGGGACCTCCCCGATGACGGCTTTGACAGAGGCATTGGCGGCAGAGTCGCCGTCGATGTCGGAGAGGTGGGGGGGGGAGGAACCCATCGGATGAGCGAGCAAAGGCAGGAGAGAGGCGACAGTGAAGGGAGTATTTTAAGCTGGTTTTGTTGTGCGAGGGAGAGTGAATGCAGAAGTGGCTTAAATAATAATAATAATAATAATAATAATAATAATAATAATAATTCATTAGCAAAATTTATTGTCAATGTTATTATAGGTTTCTATATTTTATTAAATGATTTATTTAAGGTCTTAGGTATTTTGATTGAAAACTAGGAAAAAAAAACTTGGTATATTTTAAAATAAATGATGACAAATCCTTATTTTTTATCTCACTTAGGCTTAAATTTTGATTTTTATATTTTAAAAATATATTGTAGCATTTATATTCATTTATTATGATAGAATGATAATCGAAAGGGGTGATGCATCACTAAGTTACAATGTTTCTGAATGAATCACTGAGATTTACAATGTTTTGATTCAGTGAGTCAACATTTTGTCACTTAGTGTCAACTAGTTCCAATTAGTTTAGATCCTCCCTATCTATTTTTAGGTATTACAAAATAATTTATATGAGAATTTGAATGGTTTTAGATAAAAATTTTAATATTTCTCATTTAGCATTAAATTTTTTTATTTTATGTATATGATCATTAATTTTTTATTTTAATTTGTATCATATCTCTAAATAAATTGTTAGATGGAATCCTAATTTACATTATTATTCTTTAAAAACTTATAATGATGCTTAAATTATAGAAGTTTAGGGTAATTTCAGTCTCTATACACCCTAATTTCGTCAAAATCCAACATGAAAATGGAATTAATAAGATCAAATCAAGATTTATTGATCTGATCAACTATCAACACTGAAACATATAGTTTGATATCGCTACAATATTATTATTATTTTTTTAGTTATTTTATTTAATATTCTGATATCATATTTTCTAAATCTTCTAATTTTATATATTTTTAGAATAAATATGTAATTATTACGGGCCACAAATAATCAATTGCAGGCCCAATCAACGGCCCATATTAAAGCAGCTGCTTCAACTATTGACGTCATCCCTAGTCCATTCGCAGCGTGCTTTCACGCGACATATAAAAGCCACCCAGTCATGCGCTCTCTTCCTCGTCGACGGGAACCGAGAGCGAGATCGAACTAGGGTTCGAACAAGACTTGCAGCTTCTACATGATTCCTCCCCTTCAATCCTCACCCCGATTTCCTTCGGGCGTTGTCTCTTCGTTTAATCCGTTTCGTTCTAGGGTTTCATCCTATTTGATCGGAGCAATCAAGAGGCGTCTTCAATTATGATTGTTTCCTCTCCTTTTGCGCTCGCGTCCATCGTTGCGCCCATCTCCGCTCCTTCGGCCCCGGGTTGAATCCATTCGCGCCTTTGGGTGCTTTTCTCATCGTTGTGGCGACTATCTGAAGCCTTTTATCTTGTTTTCGGGTTGGGTTCTTTGTTGCGTGCTCTCCCGGGACACTTGTGCTGGAAAAAGAAGTGTGATTTGGTCGAGAAGTTGCGGGGTATAGAACTTTGATTTCTTCTTTGTCATCGTGGTCGAATCTTGGGCTGGGTGGAATATGTATCCTGAGAAGCAGTTTAAGGCTCGGAGCTACCTGTCCAGCAGGCGATTTTTCAAGCAGAGGCTTAGGGAGAGGAATGACAGAGGTTGGACCCTGCTTCACATTGGTTCCAGAAAGGGTGACTCGAAAGAGGTTGGTGTTCTTGAATCTTGACTCACCTATCGGACTAATTATAATTGCATTTATAGTTCAAGTTGTCTACAAGATTCTTATTTGTCTAACGCTTCTAGAGGTATTGAGATATCAGGTTGGTATTGTCAGATTTTCTAAATATTTTAATTCAGTTATTTGGAGAGTTAAAAAGATGGCACGCCCTGGATTATGTTAGGGAAAGTTGATGTAAGCGGAAAATTGGGGTTGGATGGATAAAGTAGATGATGGAATTATAAGAGTCAATATATTTAATATTCTGTATATCCTTTCACATAGAGATAAGCAGTCAAGATTCTTTGTTGCATGCTTTCCGGAACAAGCTAGTCTCAAGTTCTAAGTTAAGCTGTCCAATTGTTCAAGTAGATTAAGCTTGACTTTGGCACGATCTTAACACTGAAGAGCTGAAGTAGAAAGGAAAAAGTGTTGTTATTTTTTAATCTTTGCATGTGGTTCATGCTATTACTGATGGTCTGCTCAAGTTCTTGTGTAGGTGCTTCCTTCTGATTGAAGAATCCAGAAGTCATATGCAGCATAGCAGATACATAAGCCCCATTTTATAACATCAAAGTTCATAATTAAGACATGAGTCAGAAACTTCTTGGAAACTGCTTAAAGTTTCAAAATGTTTTGCTTTAACCAAGGTCTGTCATACCGAAGCGTACCGCCCATACCGGGCGATACGTACCGGTCCGACAGGTTACCGGTACGCGGACCGTCCTGTATCGCTATAGTGCTACAGTATTATACTGTAGCACTGCTACAATATGAAAAAGTATAAAATTATTTGGTACACCAGGGTGTACCGCTCGGTACGCCCTGATGTACTGCCCGGTACACCGGTACCGTACCGTATCGAGCCCGGGTTGAAACGCCGGTACGGTACAGTACGGCGAACCTTCGTAACGGCAAACCTTGGCTTTGACAAACCCAAAAGTGAGACCATAAATTCGCCCTATCAACTATGGATATTCTTATTGCCTCTCATATACATATCAATAGGGTTCGTTTTATCGGTCCATATCAATGTATCGACTAGTCGTTGGTATGATACATACCAATTTGTACCGACATACCTTATGTCGGTATGGTGGAGCATACTGACAGTATGGAAAAATATCCAAAAATAGCTCCAAAAGTTTTTAAAAATAAACAAGTTAGGTTAAGATTTTTAAGTTAGAAATAAATATAAATTTAGTATGATTTTAGCAAAAAATAATCTAAATTAGGAAAGAATAGTAACACATCTTTTTGGACTTTGAGGAGTAGCTTTGTTGTACGTTCCATACTGTCCTTCTGTTGATATTGAATTATCTATAAAGAAATTATTTGACTTGTTAGATTATTTTTTAAACAATTTAAACTTTAAAATTCAAATGAATTAAGTAATTAATCAATGAATATACTTGTTCTACCACCAAAAAGAACGATGGGACTCCACGGGCAGTGGGTTAGGGCCCTTGATCTTATGCATTTGTATATTAATTTGATATGCTTGTTGGACACAATCTTGAAATTGATCCCATGACATGGTATATTAATAGATCGTCTGCCATTGGTACATCAATGTGGTGATGGTCGTAGTTTGATCGTTGTGAACCACATGTGTCCGAGGTGGCTCCTAAGGCAAGGATGATTATGGTATGCATTAGTGCGGAGCATAGAGAATGTCAGAATTTCTATTTTCGTCAATAATATGTTGCTTCATATCATAACATTGATCATCGTACTATTACTCTGTGTTATCGTATGATAACAATGAATACGATGAGCTTTGCTCAGTGTCTATGTCATGTAGGCTATGTCGCTTTTGCTCAAAATCATCAACTCCCTTCCCTTTTCTCTTATGTGTATAAACTTGACTAGTATCTTGTCGAGCTCCATGATCTGAATCTTGGGTGACGTGTAAAATACTGCTTTGCGGTCCATGCGCTATCTATAAATTATGTAGATCGAACTATTGACTTCTCGGTGTCATCGCCATCATTGGCCGCTATCATGTCTCTAGACCGAGTTGGTTGTTGAATGTAATTAAAAAAGTGTCTCGTCGATCGATTCGATTCTTTTCAACGGTGCAACTGATGTTATTGTCATCCCCTTTGCCTTTGCCTTTGCACGCTACAGACGACTGTGATGATTTGGTATCTCTAGCTCCTTGAGCAGTTTGACTTGATATTGTTCAGCTCCTTCTACCACATTCTAATCGAGGGGGATCTTCCTCCTGCTAGGGATGTGCTTCCTGTTCTTATATTGCCTCGGTGATAAAACGCGAAGGACGTGAAGGGGGCATATGGCTGTAAGTTTTACTTGTTTAAGCTAATTGTTTGATGAGAAAAACTTTTGGAACTATATAATGTTAACCAACAACAGGATTTGCTTTTGAGAATCATTAGTCGTGTTTTCTTTGTTGTGCAACTTTTCTTCTGTCTAAAAGAGTGTCTAGAGCTCCATCAATGCTAATTCTTGCTTTACTGGGAAAATCTACTCGTGAACATGGTTAATTGTTTTTCTCGATAGGCACTTAAACCATTTTTTTTCTTTGACAACACCCTTTTTTTTTCCCTATCACGCCTCAATCACATAAGATATGTGGTATGTCTTCGTATAGTTAGGTCTATATTTTCCTCTTGTTTCAGTTATGGTTGTCCGTGCCTGATGATTTTCTCCCTGACTGTACAAGAGAAACATGTTGCATATTAGTCCAATGCAAAGTCTTTTACTTCATTCTACTGCTACCTTTTTTCAATCTTTTGAATTTTCAGCTGCAATGTTTATGGTGTAAATTATTAATGAAGTGTAGCTTATTTCTTTGCACAACAGGCCTGTATCTGGTGTATATATGTTTCTAGTTACCACAGTGATGTCATAATCAACACACTGTTTAAGATTTAGGAACAATATTTTGTGGCATTTTCTACTGATTGTATCAACTGGCATAACCCTTTGTGTTTGTAGGATCAATCCTTTGTTTAGGGCCTTTAGGCCCACTTGGTATTGGGACCAAGTTGCTTCATATCAAACAAACTACCTTCAATATCAACTTCTGCATTTTAAGAATATGCTTAATATCTTAATCTGATGCCAATCATCTGCCATCTTATTTTATCACGGAGAACATAAAATGCAGGTAAAAATTAGTGTGATGGCAGCACCCAACTGTGAACTGATTCATATATCTCCACTATCTTCAACTTTTTTTTATCATCAAAAGCAGTAGATGCAGTGGCAAGGAAACTTGAAGCTGTATAATAACTTAGCATCTTATTGACTAAATGTCAACCTCCTCAATTCCATTATTTCTTGGAGATAAATACAACATCCTATATGTTTGGATGCATCAACAAGGAAACCCACTCATCATCACACATGAAAGGATGTAACTCCTCACTTTTTTCTAAAACAGTACTACAGATTTTGGTATAATTGAAGTAGCTTGAGGAGGCAGTAGCACTAAAGCTATCATGGAAGCTACCGCTACTTCTATAAAAACCATCAGCTGCCTGAGGGAAAACTGAATTTTGCATGTTCTCCTCAGAACAAACACTTTTTGCAGCCTGAGGTGCTGGGTCATTTCCACTGAAATCTGAGGTGTCATAATCAAACATAGCACTTGGTAGGACAGAATATGCAGAATTATTCATTCCACTAGCAGGAACTTCATCAGCAAAAAGAGATCTGGTGCATCGTATGGCCTTGGTCCTTATTACATTAACTTCCACACCTTTTTGTTTATCTGCAACTGCTTTAACTGTTTGTACTTCTCTATTCTTTGATGCAGGACTTGGGCTGCTGTGCAAGCCCTTTTTTCTGAGGTAGGTATTCCAGTAGTTCTTTATTTCATTGTCTGTTCGCCCTGGTAATCTTCCTGCTATCAAGGACCATCTGCTTGAAGGAAAAATATAATGCATTTGTTGACTTATAAAACTGAATAAATTATTGATTTCAGTGGAAATTCTTTTCACAAAATTCCTTTCAATGTTGCTGCTTGAGGATCACTATCATTTGGCATGTATTCTCTGGCCTAGGAGCTTACGTTGTTTATGATTACATTATGAATTAATATATAGTGACCTTATTTTAAACCTCAAGTTGTGCTTCTCACTGTGTCACTATATTCAATGGATTCTGGACTTTATAAGAGAATACAATAATATGCATATGAATTGTGTGCTGTGCCATACTATACTTCTGGTTTTGTATGGCTGATATAGAAATGATAAATTGGGATTTTGGCTTTTTTGATGTTTATTGCTTTACATCGATAACACTCATCTCCTTGTCATTATATTTGACCATTTTGCTACTTCACTAAATTTGTTCATATATTCTCCAAAATTTTCCTTTGCACTCAAGTGTCAACATTTTCTGTCCTGCTAAATATATGCTAAGCAGTGTGATAACATTATGTGCAACCCAAATTATGTGCTTGTGATTTGTATTCTTTCTACCCTTGTAAGAAGAAGAAAGCATTGAGACCTTAATTTTACCTATTTCCAAGTAGATTATGAAGCCTGATGATAAGGTCCTCCTCTTCCTGGGTGATATTCCCCTTCTTGATATCAGGTCTAAGATAATTCAGCCACCTCAACCTGCAACTCTTACCACATCTATTCAATCCTGCAATATCAAACCAGTGTTGTCACTGGCATTATCTTTTAACACCAATACGGTTGTCCTTGATTGAGTCAAATAATTTTTGAAATTTGCTCTTAGATTTACTATGTGTCTTGGCAAATGTGAGGTTGCCTTCTCAATTCCAGCAACTTAGGGAAAATTGGAGATGGTCAGAAATTATTCCATATGTACTAGCATGTCATTAAACACATTTCTCAATTTTGGAAACTTTAACATGAATATTAAACAATGCTTCAGGTTGATCCAGACTAGTCTCTGTTAATTGATTGTGGCATACAAAAAATTTCCAGCAAATATGTGAAAGAAAAGAAATTACAGTTTTTAGCATTGACTGCTTTAGGTTGCTGGATTGGGAAGACTGATAGTTTGCATGAGGTTTCCAAGAGATTGGATGAGTGTAAAAGGGACACAAGACATAATCTGAAGCTTCAAAGATCTGCTTCAGTATCTGTTACTCTTATTTTTCTCTGTAATCTGAAACTAAGATTTGTCATCCAAATCCTACATGTAACATGCATGGACATGCTTCATGGAAATAGTATCTCCATTTTGTGCTTCTCACTCACAGCTGTTATTAAATTGTTGGGCTTAGAATTGCAGAATCAAATACTCTTACCGGCATTGGCAGGCAGGCTTCTCCATCTCCCAAGGCCATGGGCCAAGATGTAGTCTGAGAGAAGCTTGTCTTCTTCGCTTGTCCAAGCTCCCCTGTTCAGACCTTCCTTAGGACAACAGGAAGCCTTTCTCATTCTTCTCTTTCTTCCAGTGTAACTCCTGTGGGTGAACTGAGCCAAAACAATGAAGTTTAAATACTTTGAGCTTTCAGGACAATATTCTTGCAGCATTAAATGCAGACTGCAAGACAGCTTTAATGGCCCCGCATTGTCTTAAGGTGAATAAACCGTGTCATATCACTTTATAAATTTTCTTGTCAACTCTTTCTACACAATAGCAAAAGAATCTAAACGTTCCTACTCTGATACAGGTCAAGAAGAAAAATCTTTCTGCAAGCAGTTGGAGCTGGTCTTCCAAAAGAACAGGTCTCTCCATCAGCTTCATCTATGTCCAGTACCTACCTATTTAACTTCCTTGGATGGCAACTCAACAACCTTGGGAGAGTCCCTGAAAAGTAGAAGATTTAAGATGGGAGTTGGTTGCCTTCTTTTTTGCATGCTCTTTAGGGTATGTAGTTTGCAAAGTTGATACCAGGGATGATACTAATCTGGGAGTGTCCTTTCACAAGCCACCAACTTGCACATTCTTATTGTCAGAAGACCTTCTCACTTAGAAAAGAAAAAAGGGAACCAAAATTTTGTTAGTCATTCAATTAGGTGGCTTGTGATGGTCATAATGGCAATGACACTCAAAGTTCTGGCCTGTTTCTTTTGCCTTGTTTCCATAAGAACTCTCTTACTAACCAGTTCTGAAAATGAAAATATTGTGCCAGGAAGATTGTTGCATCTTTGTCAAGAGTGGTTCAATTCATTCTTATCCTTGCAACTGGAGATGTTACTATTCTCACTCTTGTCAAGAAGTTGATGACAATTTGCTTGTATCCTGGAATGAAAGTATATTTGGATCATGAAGGCCAATTTATATAGACCTTTCAACTGCTTTGGACGTATAAACAATCAAACTAGTTTCCATTAGTTCTCAATAAAACAGGTAATGAGCTTTCTAAGTGCTTGCACATTTTTGGGATTAGAATTGATGTGTTCTAATGCTCAGCTGTGGATTTCATTCATAATCTTTGACTTCAATACACCATGAAGGTTATGCTTCTGAGAACATCTTAACTATTTCCATATACATCGATCAAACTTATGTGATTAATATCTGAGTCACAGGTAAAATTTCAAGGATAAAATTATTAGCCAAAACCTTGTTGCACTGAATTATCTTTTTACGATAATACAATACTGGCAATAGAGTTGATGCGAATGTGATAGCCAATAGAACAAACACTACTTCACCTTGCAGTTGATGTTGTTGATGGAATTCACATACAATAGTAACATATCAAATCAAAGCACAAACGGTATAATATTTTATCAAATCAAAGCACATAGAGAGAGAGAGAGAGAGAGAGAGAGAGAGAGAGAGAGAGAGACGATAATTTATTAATTCATCATTTTATCATATTTGATCGATCCAATTTTATTATTCCTGAGGTTCAGTAATATAAAATGCTTTTGTTTTTAAAAATATATGTAAAATTAAAATGGTATAATATCATAATATCGATCGTTGTGTCGATTTAAATGATATCCTTAAGAGATAAGATAACTAATATATTAAATAGTACAAAACTATATATTTATGTACTTAATAGTATGAAACTATGTATATTAAGTAGTATATTGCGTATGTAGCGAGAGATAAATTTCTTTTAAAAAAATTATAACATTGAATGACGTGCGTAGCGCTTATATTTGGATTCAAAAATGAAAATATATCATTGATAAAACAATGCATTAACTAAACAAAATGTTATATATATATATATATATATATATATATATATATATATATACATAAAAAAAGATCAAATAAACATAAACCATAGATCCATTGATCGGACGGTTGAGAGGACTCCAAGCCAGTGTCTTATCCTCCCACGTGCACGACTTTTGACGACACCGTTTCCGCAGTGTTCCTATCACCCATCAAGTGATCTGGACCGTCCAATTCAGGGTTTTCGTCCGCCTGTTCTGGCTCTTCCCCACCAGCTTATAGTAGAGCGCGAAACCCTTCGCGAGCCCGTCTACGGCGGAGCGGAAGGCCAAAGCTCGTCGGATCCCGGTGAGATCTGTCGACGCCTCTCCGTCTTTGCTTGTATTATTATACATCTTTGATCCCGTTCGGGTTAGAGATCATGTTTTCTACGATTAGCACCTTACCTTTGCGGATGTTGGGATTCCATTATGTAATTCTGGTTCATGATCTCGTATGGTGTAACGTTGGATGATTTGGTCGTGTGTGTGGGTAACAGTTCAGCAATTGGGGTATGTTATCATGGTTATCGGGATTCTTCTCAGTTTTCCGATGGATTTGATGTCATTCTTCGAGACCTTTGTCTGAGAGGAATAGCTCCGAAGTTGTTTTTCCGATTCCGATGGTGTTTCAAGGATAAGAGAGAGATAGGATGGTTAGGAAGATAGTAAGACACCAAAAAGTTTGTGTTGGAATAGTGTGTTGAAAGGATGGTGTTTCAAGGATAAGAGAGAGATAGGATGGTTAGGACGATAGTAAGACACCAAAAAGTTTGTGTCGGGATACCATGCGGATTATGACTTGGGAATATGTTGGATCTGTCATTCTTTATGTTTTATTCTGGTTCAAGTATTCAGGATTATGGTGTCACTATCCGTAAGTTGTGATCTTTGGAACTCGTATGAAAGTGAACGTTTATCTGGCAAGACTGATTTCCTACTCGCAACTCGAAAATTGAACCAAAGATTTTATTCTTCTGATGGCTGATCATCAGAGGCACATTTGAGTCCTTGTTGCATAACTTTTCTACCTTAATCTTACTCATTATTCATCTGCTTCTTTTCTTGAATGACAATTTGGTGTAAGGATGCTAGGCTTGAAATAATGCATATTGTCTTTGCCTCTAGTCCACAAATTAAGAATTTACTTTTTTGTTGTGTGATTCTTGTTCTCTTTAGAATCATGAATTATGTGAGTTGCCTGTACATATATTTTGTCCCTTAGTGCTTTAAAATATATAGTTTTTTGTTATATTCGTACAAGCTTGTCATGCGGTTCAGTGACCTTTTACAATATTTATATAATTTTTGCCTGAACTATTTTGGTTTTCAGGTGATAAACCATGGTTAAGCATAACAATGTTGTGCCAAATGGGCACTTCAAGAAGCACTGGCAGAATTATGTTAAGACATGGTTCAACCAACCAGCTCGCAAAACTAGAAGACGCATCGGTAAATATCTTCTCTTCAGTCCACTGGTCTTTAGATACTTGTTATTTGCTGATAGTTCCCCATTGATGTAGATCAATGTAATATCAATATGAGCCTTAGATGCCTTTCTTTTTAGTAACTTTATTCTTGATTCTGCTTCTTTTCCATGGGAGTAGAAAGCTTTTTCATGTATTACAACTTGTTTTTTCTCTTGCTGATGATATATGCTATCGTTTGGATGTAACAGCAAGACAGAAGAAAGCCGTGAAGATATTCCCCCGTCCAACTGCTGGACCCCTGCGTCCTATTGTTCAATGCCAAACACTCAAGTATAACATGAAATCAAGATCTGGGAGGGGTTTTACTCTTGAGGAGCTCAAGGTGAAAATCTGCCATTCTTAATAAATGTCTTAAATGTATGTCTTATGGTCTTGTATGCTAATGTGTACTTGGTAATTGAGATTTGTTATTTTTCTTGCCAATTCATTCATCTAACTCCATCAAAGTGCCATTATAGGTTGCACATATTTGAGAAAGTGTTATATTTTGAATGAGAAAAGATGCAAAGAGGATAATCTTTGCATGGTTGAAAAAATGATCTACCTTTCCTTGTTTAGTTTTAAAATGTCTCATGGTGCTTTACTACTCAAGTTGTTTTGAGTGTTGTCATCGACTTTGATATTTCAATGCCAATAGCTAATCACATATAAAAGCATTGGAGAAGAATTTTGCTCATATGAGCAAAATCAACTATTCCTTCTTGACAAAATTGGTTTAGGGGTCATTTGATTGAGAAATAAAGTGTGGAATAAGGACTTCACCTGTAATAGATTACTAAATAACCTCATTTGGTAGGACCATATCTTCCAAAGATAAGAAATACCAAACAACCATTAGAGCTGCCTAATTGAATTGGCACCATTGACAAATGCAAACATTTATTTTTTTATTTTTAATATATTCTCAACTCAAACAATAATGATATTAGTAATTACATTAAGTAGAATGATCTACTTATTCTCTTGATATGTATTGTTAAATCAAACAAGATATTTTTTTAGGGTTAATTCTTCTAGCCTTGAGTTATTTAAGTGAGGTACTCTAGGTTGACTCAGAGGGCTATATTGTCACTTGTGGACCTTTCAGTTTTAAATTAATATCCAATGGCTGGTCCCTTCTTTTGTTCTGGATGCCAACATGGATATAAATTATATTTTATGAATCCTTATCCAACCTGAAAAATCATACTTGTCTTGCTTGCTTTAAGTACATATTATAGTGTTATATTATAACATGTTAAAAGAATTTTTTCTTTTGAAAAATGATAATTGAGTATTAAGACATTTTTATGATTATGTTTTTTGGTGAAAACTTTACATCCTTCAAGATCACTCAATCAATGCAATTGGATGAATATATTTGATTGCAATTGTAATTTAGAGTTAATATCAATGATGAGGTTTCTCATGTATAAGTATGAGTTTTTATCTTTTATCCAATGATTTAAAAAGGATTAGGTGTCAAAAGATGCCAATGTCCCAAAATGCCTGAGGCGCTAGGTGCTCGCTCGAGCGAAGTGAGACGTTCTAAAATATTAAAATATAAAAAATATATAATGCAATTGATAAATATGATTATATTAATAAAAATATAATATTAAATTAAAAAGATCTAAAGTACCAAGTCACATTATCTATCTTCTAATAACAAAGATGTCAAGACTTAAAACAATGGTTTATTATCAAATTCAATCATCATCATATTGAACATCGTCATTTTCAAACATATCATTATCTTTCTCTTCCTCTTGTTCATCTTCATCAAAATAGGTTTTTTCCTCTTCGACAATAGTAAGAGATAAACTTGACGCTTTTGCAGACATTTTTGCTTTCGTCATCTGTCTTGTATATGTCTGAGATTTTCCGACACCTAAGGCTCTTGTCACATCTTCCCATGTCAAGTAGTCATCTTCAAACGTAAGCTCATATTCGACATCTTACAAGTTCATACCCATTTCTCTCACCAACCACTCATTTGAATTATCAATATCTTGTAATAAGATTGGATCAATGTTATTTCATAAATTATAATGAGCCTTCAATGCGTGATTATACTTTATATAAATCAGATCATATAATCATTTATGCTCTAATCGTTTTCTTCTCTTTGTGTGAATTTTTCATGCAATATAATTTAAAAATATATTAATACATCTATCTTAAAAAAGAAGATTAATTGAATCTAACTACTGTTGGTTCAATCTAATAATGAATAGATTAATAGATTAAAAGAATATATCTATCTAAGAATAGATTAATAGTATGTAGCTTAGTTGGTTCAATCGAACCAACTAGCTAGTGTTCAATCGAACCGGACTTAAAAGTCCGGTTGACTAAAGCACATCACTTGGTCAAGGCCTGAGGCACTTGGGCCTCGCCTCGCCTCACCCGGAGGGCTTAGGTGAGAGCTTGAACGCCTATTTAAACCCCTGCTTTTATCTTGTTGGTTCTTGTGCAAATCCTCAAATTGAGAATTGTTAAGGATCATTGATGCTCTGTCATGTGATTTTGATTCTTGAAAAATTGTTTCCATATTCAACATAGTATTACTTTCTTATACGTGTCAGTCTTGCCAATTAGTGTATGTGTCAGCACACCAAAAGATCCATCTCCATGTGATAAGATATAGGCTTCTGTTCCAGATTATAATAGATTCTAAAGTAATCCATTTAAACAAATTTTGCACCTTATATCTTATGGATCAATGTCTACTCAAGCGTGGCCGATGTATAGTTAGTATCAGCTTTTGTACTGAATAATGATGGTTCCTGGTACAATTACAGGCAGCTGGTATTCCAAAGAAACTTGCTCCGACAATTGGCATTGCAGTGGACCATAGACGAAAGAATCGTTCTCTTGAGGGTCTCCAAGCTAACGTGCAGAGGCTGAAGACATACAAAGCTAAGCTGGTCATCTTCCCAAGGCGGGCTCGGAAATTAAAGGCAAGCTAATTAAGATTATATCTTAAGAGCTATTAATAGTTGTTCGTCGATCGTATATTTAATTTCTCATTCTTTGGCATATCTTGCTCTCTCAGGCTGGAGATTCTGCTCCGGAAGAACTTGCAACGGCTACCCAGGTCCAAGGCCAATACATGCCCATTGTCCGTGAGAAGCCCTCGATTGAGCTTGTGAAGGTGACAGACGAGATGAGATCATTCAAGGCCTACGCGAAGCTTCGTGTTGAGCGGATGAACCGGTGCCAGGTTGGTGCGAGGATGAAGAAGGCTGCAGAGGCTGAGAAGGAAGAGAAGAAGTAACCCATTGTTGTGATGGTCATTGTTCTGTCCTCTTCTGTTTTAGGCACTTCCATGAGAGTCTAATAGTTTGGCCACTTTCATTTGAGTTTTCAAGTGATTTGTCTCTTGTTTTTTGTTCTGTGACAATGCAATCTTAGGTATTACCCTATTGGTTATTAATGTTATATCGAGTCACAATATTATTATCTTTTGTAGAAGATGCTGATTTAGCTAAAGAACTTTTGCTTGACTACCACGACAAGTGTAGGTGATCAGCGTTGGGGAACGTTCAAATCTATTTGAGATATCATATGTTGTGGCTGAGTCAGGAAACCTTTGAATTTTTTTGTCAGGTTACCTGCAATAATAACTTGCATGCTTGGTGGAACAGTTCTGCTGTATCTGGAAGTAGCATAGAGTCATTTACCTCTTAGAGCAAGATGGATAAAGTTATTTTCGTGTATGTTCGTTTTTTTTGTTTTATTTATATTTTATATAATATGTAGAGGGTTTGCTTTTGATTGTTGTTTTATATAAGTTGTGTGTAATCGTCAAAATGGTATAAAGTTAAGTGGCATATGATTGGATGAGCCTTCAGAGTAGTGTCTAGGGTTTTCTACCTTGTTCTTATGGGGATTTTTTTGTCACAGCGGATCATTTATTAAGTGTTTATTGAAATGATTGCTCGTGAATCTTGAGTTACATATTTTCTCTAGTCCGTTTTCTCTTTTATAGGTTCTTAAGAAATCATAAGAGGTTTCGGGGAGGTTAACTTTTTGCGGACGGATATATAAAAGATAAAGTTGGGGTCAAAAGGCCTTGACACAAGGTAAGAGGACGTGAAGACAAGTATTCATGAAGAATATGTCATCATGTTATTATTCGAGTTGTCGCGAAGGAAGCGGTGCACAGTGAATATTGTGATGAGGGCAAAGGAAAAGGATCCAAACAATGACTCACCAATTTTAACAAAGTCAGTGGACTTCGAAAGTTGATATGTAACAGATTGTCCTAGAGTTGTGCTTTGTTCGGGTATGACCTAAGAGTGGATGGACGAATGTCAATTGCAAAAAAAGTGAACAAAATTGGATATGACCGAGGCCCTACGATGTGCTAATAAAGGCCACATATAGAGAGATCGTAGCCCAAGTTCATTCCACAAATATCAAAATGGTATGAAGATGTCACTAGGAGGCACCATGGTGCAACGGATCATGATGGAATAGTTCGAGACAATAAGACACATGAGATAATTCCCGCAAGGGACTAGATCATACAAAGGTATGATCCAAAGCTACTGAGAGCTCTACTTTGGTAAACGAAATGACGATAAGAATGATTATGGATTCAAGGAGTGAATGTCATAATATCGTAGAGACGAGTTTATCATACGCCCATCGAATTTTTCATTGGATGTAAGCTTTAGTCATCAACATATAGGGGCTATGTATAAACCATCGAGGAAGAATTCAAGTGCAAGTACCAGTGAGTCCCATGAAGGGGGCTTAATCATACATAGGTATGATTAGAGCATTTGGAGAGCTAGATTACTCTAGAGCTCATATTTACTTAAGGGAGCCTGATAAGTCAAAGGATATGGCCGAGTAAGTGATCGTTGCAACCAAAGAAGTAAAAGAGAAAAGAATCAACACAAGCCCTACAACATGATGACAAAGAACATGTATGAGAGTTATAGTCTGTCTTTCCATCGACCAAAGGGAACTATTCGGAGAGTACAGATGTGTTGAAGCAGGTGGTCGAAAGGGACAAGAAAGCTGATAAGTCCAAAGGGACTTAGCTACCCAATATTAAATTGCGATTAGAATGGAGGTAGACTCGGAGAAGTGTCGTAGAGACAGACCTACCAATAGCGAAGAAAGGGACATAGATGTGAGGCGACAGATAGTAGGGCCATAGGCATAGCAATGTCATAATACCATAGAGGTGAGACTTCCGTGGAGTCCTCGATCCCTTGCTCTCATGGAGGGAGAGCATTTAGTCATGAAAGGGGTCGAGGAGGTGGAGAATGTAGATGCAAATTCTAAATACGAAACTAAGGCCGAGGGGTAGAGACTAGGAAACTTCATCAGATAGGTGTCAACGGGGTTCTCATTAAGATAGTCGAAAGTGGGCAACTTTGGGTTGATGTAGGAGTGCTCGACTAAGGAATGAAGTAAGCAATACGTGGTGTTATACTTTTTCTACTCAAAGAAGTAGGTAATAGAAATAATGGAGAATATAGTGTAATCCCATAGGTGAACAAAATTATTGGAGACTTGCTCCACATCAGAGCAAAACGTTGTTCTCTTTGGGCAGAACTTCTTGTATTCCAGAAGTTTAATAGTAATGAGAAGGCAAATCGCAGTAGCTAACTCAACGCAAGGAGTGCAAACACTTTGAGTATTTCAGAAGTGTGAGCAAAGAATAAGCGAAGACTAGCAACCGGCTCGATGTATAGAGTATAACCCTTTAGGAGGTGGGCAAAGTCAATTAACCTTTGCCTTCTCAACCATTAAGAGAATGGGTGAAACTAAGTACTTCAGTTCTCTTATTTATCCAGCAGAGGAGTTATACACATGTTCAAATACCATTCAAAAAAAGTGGAAGACAACAATTGTCAAATCCTCACCAATAGTGATTGGTGCTACCAAGAGTAGACTACTCATTTCTTAATAGAATATCAAACAAAACCGAAAGTGATGTGTAAATTTTACGGAGAAAAGACCTCAAAAACTTTAAAATTTATAAGACGATATTCATTAAAACTCCAATAAACATCCACCTAGCTCAAGTGGTGTGAGACATTTGAGAGATTAACACATAATAAGGAAGGTCTTTTCCTAAAAGATCCATAGGAACCAACAAGGATCAGTACAACTCGATCGATCCCACCTTAGAGTTAGAGTCATTAGCGAGTTAAAGTAGTATGACGAATCAAAGTTCGACTACTCAACAACAGCAACATAGAGCAGTTAGGAGCCTAGTGGTGCATTGTAACTAAAGCAGAAGATTGAAGACTCAGCAAAGACGAGGAGATGTTGCATCCGCAAAGGCTTCGACGAGGACGTTGAAGGAATAAGTAGAGGAGAATGTCACAGACAAAACTGTAAATAGGGTATTCGATATAATGCTCATGTATGTCTTTATCTTTCAGTTTTGTTCATGCTTTGCACAAAATGTAAAGGACTTACAGTAGGCTTGGTAGTCCCATTTTGATTAGCTTTTATCGTCGTTTCAAGCTTGTAATCATAGGTTATGTGTAGTCATTGCGTAGAGACAAAACTGCCTAAAAACAAATAATCTAAGCAGCCATTTTAGGGGTTTTTTAGCTCCATAGAGTGGTGCGGAGTGTCAATTAGCATATCACCTAAGAACTACCTGGGTGACACATGATTAGATGAGCCTTCGCTATCTTGTTCCGTAATAGTGTCATATGAGCACTTGTGAAAACTTTTGATCATGGCGGACCATCTTGGATCCTTTGTCACACAATCATTCAAAGCTTGCAAAGTCTATATTTGTAATTTGTATTATCTATCAAGTGTTTACTGAAATGACTTTTTATAGATCTCAAATTAAATATTTTCTCTAACCCGTCTTCTCTTTTGTTGGTCGTTAAAGGACCATAAGAGATTTCAAATATCCTAACCCTTTACGGACAAACATGTAGTAGTGTCACCAACAAAACCAGCTAAGTCTATAATAGATCAATATTAGCAATATGTACCAATTTAATGGAGGACTAATATAGATAATACATTGATATG